AGACTCCAAGGATATTCAAGGCTATCTGGCTTGTGGGTTTATTGCATTTGTAGGAAGCATTACTAAGCATGTGTCCTTATAAGAGAGTAACAAGTCTTCCAAGCGCCCATACACAAGTATGTGTTCATGATAATAAATCTGTGACTTGCCTCGATGGCTTATGCAACGACCAGTCCTTAACTGATACAGATAGGGAAAGCAGAGTAACCAAGCTATGCCCCACGTCCACGGTGACACAACCTCTAACACCCACCAATACCCAAACCATATCCCTGCTCGGTCACTATTTTTTCTTTCTACCATTTTTATATATTCCAAGTGATAATAATCCAATAATATATTTCCTATCTCTCGCGAGTGACAGCCATCACTCGACTTCTACCGGAGTCCTGTAGCATAGCAATCTACACGATCCTGTCATACTAGTAAGACTCATAAGATAAAGATATATATGTGCAAGTGGGTTTCATTCAACTCCTTAAAACTTAATGCACAAATATAATTTAAACTACAAAAAAGTAGGGGTTATGCACCGGGGCTTGCCTGGGTAAGATATATATTAAAAAGTTAGTATCTGCATCGTCAGATCATCCACCATCAACTAGATAGAAAGCACATTGCATCATCTCCTGGAGAGAATACCATTACATCATCTTTGAATTCCCAATCATCCTTCAATTGATCTGACCCATCATCATACCTATATGATATGCAATGCAAATACATAATTAATCGACTGCAATTGTGACTCGTAAAATACGATTTACGCCTCTCAAGTTAACGAGCTAGTTCTAACGACGGTCGTACTTAGGCCACATATTCATGTTGTCGAATCAGGCGTTATTTCCCAACAATTATTTTAGTTATATAAATCCAAGTGATTTCTTTATTTCATTCTATTGATTTAATAATTATTCTAAATAGGACATCATTATCTATTTAGCAAACTAATTATTCTAGAGCTACAAAAATTATAGTGAGTTTCTAATATTGCTAGAAGCCTACTGTACAAATTTCAGATTCAACAATATTACCAATTGATCACAACAATTCCTACAAGTTATCTTTTTACCATATTTAATATCTTAAATTAATTATATAGCTTCCAAGAATATTATCAAACTATGTGAATAAAATATACTAACAGGTATATCATGATTTTAGGAGACTAACAAAATTGGTTTGACATTTTTATGATTTTTCTATGATTTTCAACGAATTTTACAAGTTTATTTCCAAAACTAATTTGGCAATCGCTTAGAAATTAGAGGGGCAGCCGCCGCCTAAAACAACCCAATGACCTGTGGTAACCTGCTGTGAGCAGCCCAGCAACAACATGGACACCTGACCCAGCGCCACGACAGTGGCACAGACGACCCATGAGGCAAAGGCGGCGAGCATGACCCAGCAACACCATCGTGGTTCTGTGGCAACATGTAGCCGGCCAACAAGGCCGGCGGCCCACCAGGTGGGGCGCACACACGGGTGCGAGCGGCCCAAGTGCGGTGGGCTTGACCTAGCAGTACAGACACAAACTGCCCCTGTACATGGCCAGCGCGACCAGAGAGGCCAGAGGCATGGCTAACTTGCAGGAAAACCCTTGAACTTCCTCTAAATCAACTAAGCCTTTAATTGTAAACTTATGAATCTAGCGCTTTTGCGAAATGAACCCGGTAAAGAATACTATTTGTGTTTCCTCACCTTCTCACCTTCACAAAACAGAGCCTAGAGCAGAGGAGCTTCAGCCGGCCACCAATCTCGGCCGAGAGGGCACGGCGGCGGCGGGAGGTGTACGGGAACACGCCGGCGAGATGCCTGAGGACCCGCGCGGCCTCGGGCTAGTCATGGCAAGACCCGAGCTGGCCCCCCGGTAGCCCGCCCGCATGAGCCGTGGCGGCGGCACGCCGACTGCGGTGGCGCCAATTGGGCGGGCGGCTGCGGCTCCGGCGACGCAGTGGGACTACGCAGTGAGGTGGAGCTGCGCGACAACTGGTGAGGGCAGGCCCCCCTTCGGCACTAGGCGGACCTAGCGCGCCCTCGACTGGGCGATGCCGGGAAGGCGGACGACCACGGGGCAATGGTGGAAACGGCTCCGGCGGCTCCGGCGCAGACGGCATGGGAGGGGCGGCAAGGTGCTGCGGGCACACGGGGAGGAGGGTGCGGCAACACAGGACTAGGCGTGTGGCCGAGGGTACACGCACAAGAAAAACCAGTACCGGCACGGACGGCCCTGGCATGGACGCGGCGCAGAGAGGAAGAGGAGAACAACGACGAAAGGGAGGCGCGCGAGGGGCTCGGTCCAGTGCAGCCATGGGCTTCACGCACGCACACGAGGGAAACCGGCGACGACGGGGCACTACGGGCTGCTGCGGGTACGTGGCATGGGGTAGCGCGGAGCGCTCAACGCGGGGAGGAAGGGGAGGGTGCCAGTCTAGAGTGCTTGCGCATGCTCGCGAAGGTGGAAAGGGGTGGCTACGGTGGACTGGAGCTGGGACGCCCTTCGGCAGCAGAGAAGAAAAGGAAGGAAAAGGCAACGCAAGGGAGGCAGCGTCGTACGCGAACGCAGGGCAGACAACCAAAGCAGACACGACAAGCAACGGAGACACAGAAGGCAAACGCGTGAGAGAGAGAGCGAGGAGCCGTGTGGTTCATCATCACTTTCATAGGCGCGACGTGGGACAAAACCATGTGCATGCGAGGTGACGCAACGAGCAGGCAGCCAACGCAGCCAGACTAGACAAACCCACGTGTGCACATGCGTTACACGCGGCCACAACCCTGGCGGATGCTCCGCTCGGCAGAGCAAGCGGAGACAGGGGCGGACAGGGCAGGGCAGCAGAGGCAGCACAACAAGGTTAATAGTTCAACGGAACGACGGAGGCCGTGGTTACTTAGGCCTAAATAGCGGTGCTAAGCAAGCTCGTAACACCAGGGGTGTTACATAGCATCCGCCTGCATTTCTACCCCCTGCCACTGCACTCATGCCAAAATAGTTGTGATAGTCATTTTTTGACATGGATGAAGCCACTCTTACGACCCATAGCTCAAGTTCGTCACAACAGAACAAATATGATGCTCTGTTTTTGACAAACAGATTTTTGTCACTAACTCATCATAAAAAGGTTATTTATGACGGATATCGCTTCTAGGGAAACCTCCACATGCTCCTCCCCGATGGGTCTTCCCGAGAGAAGTTTGGGAGTCTATCCAAGCGAAGAACGGGTTCAACATCGGCCTAACCGGTCTCTAAATCAGTTTAGTTGATCCCGCTGCGTTCTTGCTGCGTTGAGGGTTGATTGCAACCACCGTATGTGCTAGCCCTTGCTATAGTGTGTGATCCGGAGGACCTTCCAGCGTCAACACACTCCAATTTCTGTAGCAGTGAAAATCTATTTCTAGAGGCGGCTGTAAATTATAGTCGCGTCTGAAAAAAGTTCCCTGCCAAAATTCAAACAAACTTTGCTATGTTTCTATGAGATGTTTTACGGTTCTTGGGAGGAACTACCGGTTCCACTTGATGAAAATTTTCTCCTCTTATCTTGAAGAGACTAATTAAATTATAACTAAGGGTAGCCTAGTGATTGCGACTTAATTCCCTTCTGGAGCACCCATCCACCCAGTGCTTGTTGCTCGGCTCCCAGGGCCTCGTCGGTGATTGGCCCGCCTCACGCTTCTACCCTAGCTGATCCACCGCCGCCTCCCTCATGCATTTCCTCGGGATCTGTACTTCATCTGTCTACAGCTGAGTAGAGTACCCCCTGGCCGATGCAGCGATCCACACCGATCCGGACACCCCAATCTGCTTGTGCTCTTGCCTGGCTTTTGGGATCATTGAATAGTTGGTACGGAGATCTCAAGCGAATCATCAGATAGGCTTTCTACCGAGTTATCCATGATGGCAACATTTATTTGCTAGGGATTTATTTTGTTAATTCATTAACCGAACTGGACGAACTTTGTCTGATAATAAAGCCGAACATTTCATTGCCCTTCTAAGCCTAATGTGATGTCAGCACGTTCAGTCATGATTTTTATGGTAAAGACAATGATAGTAAATTGCTCTCTGAGAGTTGCTAATAATTGTGGTTCGATTCTTTTATGTGATTGTGTTGGAATTGAGCTTCTTCCATTTACCAGGTAAAGTACTGGTGTTATTTATGTGTGTTGGTTTGATGCTTCGGTTCTTTATCGTCATGTTACAGTAGGGCCTCCTGTGTTTAGAGGATTGGGGGTTGGTTGATGTGAACCCATGTTTGGAATCAGTGATAGAATAGCCATGTGTTCTGGCTATTGGAATATGCTTCTGCCCTTATCATATCGACCTAGTGTGCTTCCAGAAGAGACAATTGTTAATATGTATGGTTGATATGGTGGTTCGATGCATAATGTAGCATCTTTATTGACGTGGACTGCATAGCTGTAGAGATCATCGATTAGGATGCTGAGAGGGTAGGTTTGTGGGGTTTGTTTTAGTATTCTGTGAGTTTGATAATCAAACTTATCAATGTGTCAACCACTACTTCTAAGTTATTAGTACCATTACCATTTGCTTATGCAGAGTGTGTTTTGACGAGGAGCCTCATTGTTTTTTACTTTGCTGCCAATCGTGTATGAGCCAACTGGATTAGGTGGTTCAGCCGTCATTATGTGGGAACTGGGATGTACTCTACGTGACGCTTAGAGTTTATTGGTCGCGCAAAGCTAAGGACAACGATACCTTAAGTTGTCAATACACATGACACATGAGTACTATATATAATTGTCCTATTGTAGTCCCTTAGATTTAATCATGGATGTAAACACATGTAAGGACTACTCCAACTGGTCGACAGAGACAGAGTGGCCAGCACTGGCACATTACTGAGTTCCCGTCACAGGATTCTCCTGTGCGTGCTACTCCTATAAGAGAAGGAAGCTTTCCTGCTTTCTCTGCCAGTTGCGCCTGTGTACGCACGATCAGTTTGGCCACCTCTCTCACTCATTTGTGGTGCCCGGCGATCATGTGGAGGCTCAAGGTCGCCCAGGGGGCCGGGTCATGGCTAAAGTCGTCCAACAATTTTCGTGGGCGGGCGGTTTGGGAGTTCAACCCCGAGCTTGGCACGCCGGAGGAGCGCGCCGAGGTGGAGAGGGCGCGCCGTGAGTTCACGGAGCGCCGCTTCGAGAAAAGGGAGTCCTCTGACCTCCTCCTACGGATGCAGGTACGTAATAGTAGCTTACTGTAGGTCTTAATAGGCTCTTAGGTTGCGTTTGGTTGCAGACACTCCATGCCACAGCTAGGCTCCACCAGCGCCAAAAATGTGGCGATAAATTCCTTTGCCCGACTTTCGGCGGCTTGTGGCGTCAAAATACACGAGAATACGGTGCAGCCCGCCACAACTGCCACAAGCAGCCTAACGAATGCAAAAAATGGAGCACATGCGGTGCGGCAAGGCAGGGGTACGCACCAAACACGCCCTTAACGTGGAATATATAGATGGTCAGGTGGCCCAGGGCCGGTACGAGCACACGCTCAGGCATGACATGATTATGGCTGCAAACGTGCTGGGCCGAGGCGTGCCAGCTCACGGGCTGAGCACCTGGCCCAAGCACGGCACGATTAATCGTGCCATGGCGACTTGACCAGCCACTATCTTGATGGGTACTGCCAATCTAGTATCCTGACGGTCGAGGCGTGCCATCAAGAAGTCACCAAATTGGCCAAAATCTAATACAAATAGAGGGAACCACATGCACCACACAAAAACAGATATGAGATAGACCGCCGGTAGACTGCAAACAACTAATTAACTTCAACCTCGCATCTAGCTCACACGGCCAAGAATAGTCGCGGTCACAGTCTCGCTAGTGTAGGCGGCGACAGGCATCTGGCCAGGTATTTTTGGGCGGCGTAGTATATTTCACTGCTACAAAAGCAATTTTGGATGGCTAGATACGACTTTTTTTTTCCGAGAGGCCGCATTTTTATTGGGCTGCCTCTATCAATAATATTAGCAGACAAAAGATTACAAAAGACGCTACTGTAGCAACCGGTTTTAAAAACAAAACCAGATACGCACCATATGTGAGCCCAGAAAATCAAATCTCACATATAACTACAAATAAGGGTAATATACAAAGACAATGCTCAATATAACGTAGTATTACAAGAGATATAACCTTAGACTGCAAACAGCGGAAAGACAACTCCGATCTTCGGGTGGAGACTCCAATTCCACAGGAACAACTGACTAGTTGATCACAAGGCTAATTCCTCCAAACTCTAGCAATCTATTACCTATCCGGGATTTTTATCCAAGTAGTAAAAATAAAGCAAACGTAAGTACATATCGTACTCAACAAATATAATATGGGGTTCACGATGCTCAAAAGTCTGACACTGTTTTACTGCTATTAGCTTTTAGTGAGTCACGATTTTAAGCAATTGAGTAGCAACAAGTTTATCACAGCCCATGTAAACACATGATCAGGTAAACATGAATAATGAATAGCATAAACAATTAACCATTAATGAGCATATTTATCATCAGTGTTCATCATCTATTCCGTAAGGGTCAATGCCGCTCGTGACCGTGAGCACGGCTGATATAACAGTTTTACACTCTATAGAGGTTGTAGACTTTCACTGTGAGTCGTGATTTACCCTTTCGCCCGAGGTAACTAATCTCTTGATCCACTTCCAAGGAAGGTCGGCAGGGTTCACTATGAAGCCTTTCAAAGGTTCGTCTAACAAGTTAAGGTCATTAGATTCACTCGGCAAATAGATGTAGAGCCCTCCTTTCCGATGGCACAATAACGCGCAGCCTATACACAAGGGGACAGAGGCCGCACTATACCCGATTCGTCAAGCCATTCTTACGCCAATAAAGGTAACCACTAACAAGTTAGAAAAGGTCCTCGTACTGAGCTAAAGCTAAAGCCATGTAGCCCTCATAGTTGTACTGTAAATACCAGATATTCACTTACAGATAAGTCATTAAGGAGAGGAATCTAGAGCACCATAAAAACAGCCCAATGCTCTAGCTCCCTTGTTCCATGTTGCTAAAAAATATCTTTTAGTGTTTATTGCATATACCATTAGTCAAGTTACAAGATAATGGTCTTAGTTTGAGCACTAGCATCATACTACCCAATGTAATACCATATAGGTGACAAGGATTCCAGGATATCAAATAGCTTGGAAACTTACTACAGTTACCAAGGTGGACACATGCATATGATTAAAATGATATTAAGGTGAATAGGACAACAAGGATGATCCTATGCTATACTTGCCTTAAACTTAGATCCTTCTTCTAGTCCAAACCTTCAAAGAATTGCTTCTGGATTCATCACGTATAGCTCACCGACTGGACATGATCATAAAGCACCACACAAGCATCCATGTAATCATACACGAAATAGACAATAGAACTAAATTAGAACATTACACCAAACACCATAAACAACAAGTAAAAATGTTTTAAAGATGTTCTACACGTTACTACGAACACACAGACGCGAAAAGCACTCTAATCAGAGCTATAACAGAAAAGTGATGAATTAAACAAGATTTCTTTTAATAAAATAATAGATTAAATCTAACCTTGAATTTCAAAAGTTGAAAATATATTTAACAGTAATATGAACTTGTAGATTACGCAATTACGAATCTAACACAACTTGAACAGATCAAATTGGAGTTAAAACGAATATTTTATGGCTAAAACAAGATTAGTGGCAAAACTATAATTAGCTAAAAGCATATTTTAGATCTAACCGAAGAAACTACGTTTTTAGAAGAAGAAAATGTATTTTGAATCTAATAGAGGGAACTTACGCTTTTTCAGAAAGAGAAAACGTATTCTGAGAATAACCGAAGGAAAATACGTTTTTGAAACAGAAAACGTATTCTGGGGAATACGTCAAGGACCGCGGGTTTGAACTTAGAATCTTGCGAGGGCTCTTTTGCAAAACTGCCGGGCGAAGGGGTATTGACCAATCTCAGTCGTTCGATCATAGATGGGCGGCGGAGATTAGAAGACGGGGAGGGAGAAGAGATGCCGGCACCGGAAACGGAGCCGAGGGTGGAGGTGGACATGGCCGGCGGCAAGAGACCTCGCTGGCGCGCTTGAAATCGACCCTAGAAGCCACGGGAGAGCAAACCAAAAGCATGGGGAGAAGGAGAAGGAGATTGCGAACTCACCTAGGGGTTATCTTCGGTGGTAGAGGCTTGGAAACGACGCGGGACGCGGTGGATGAGGACCTCGAACTCGGCGACGCGGCGCTAGGGTTCCGAGTTCAGCGGCTGCAAGCTCGGGACAAGGTGAGGCTACGCTTGGGGCTGGATGAGGGCAGCACGGTGCTTGGCTTATATGGGGTGGGAAGGCATGGAGTGCATGGCAAGGCACGGCGCGGGATGGCGTCGGACTCTCGGCGGCGGAGTCTGCTTTGGTTGCGACGGAGGTAAGGGATGGTGCTGACAAGTGGGGCCGGGATGGCAATTACATGGAGCGCGGGGCCGGGCAGTCAGAGGAAGAGAGGGGCTGGACGCGGTTGCAGCGTGCGGCTGGGCCGGCCCAAGAAGGATGAAGCGAGCGGCCCGCGACAACGGAGGAGGCGGGAGCAGATCTAGGCTGCGATCAGGTGGGCCGCGGAGGCGAAGTGAGCCGCGCGGGAGAAGGTGGGAGCAGACCGGCTGGGCCAGAAAGGAGAGAGGGAGTGTTTTTCTTTTTCTCTTTTTTTTTTTTTATTTCAAAACCATTTTCAAATCATTTTAAAAGCATTTGAAATTATTTTGAATTTTGGGCAAAACCCTCATCACAATAAATAAAATGCAACGGCATGGATGCTCAAACATGTTGCTACCTTATGATAAATTTTAATTTAATAAAAAATTATTACTTCCCTATATTTAGAGATATGCTTATTAAAATGTCCGTCTCTATAAATAAGCTTATTATAAGAGGCGGGTTTCCTAAAGCCTCCTCAAAAAAATACGGGCCTAATGACATCCCACTAAGCTACTAAATCCATTAACAGCCGCCACACAACCCTCTTATAGCCGCCGCACAACTCTAAGTGTTTGGTCACTCAACCCTCATACATCTCTCTACCTGTCACAAGTCTTAATGTCTTTATTCTCGTACAGATATGGTTTCTTATCAAAGAAATTATTTCTCCATCTCTCTTCTTTAATTTAATTGTAGTGCCACATCTTCTTTAATTTTTTCTTAGTTGACACTCTAATTAACGAGCATAGCAACCTTTTAGTTTCATGATTGGAATGCACTAGCATGTTTCATCAACTAGTATAGGTTGTTAGTTGATACTAGCATGGGAGGCGTGCTCCACCGCGCCGGGTTTGTTCTGCATGAACAGTAAAAGTGAAATAGTAAAAGAGGCAGTAAATAGTGCGTGCAGTAGAGCAACCAGCGGTAAAATAAGTTTTTGCTACAGTGCAGAGCCAGCGGAGGACTTCAATTTATTCCTACACGAGGGAGTAATATAATACATTCCCAGCTAATCATTTTGTAGAAGGAATGCGTGGTCGGCAATAGTTCAATGCTGCCTACTACTCTAGTCAATAATATCTTTGATTCAATTTAATGGCCATCAGAAGACACCATCTATAGGTTCATGACATTGTTAATCCTATTTAATAAATTTTAATCAGTTGGCTTGTTTGCCTGCAGCAATAAGCTGCTGTTGCTGCAGCTGCAGCTTTTTTCTCTCTCTCTAAATTCAATGTACTAACAGCCCCAGTAGGCTGCAGCAGCAGATTATTGCTGCAGACGAATAGAGTGTTGTTAAAATTTTAAGGAGTGAACACGAGGTTTTATTCCTAAGGTTTGATTTTAAGATGGGGCCCACATGCACATCTTTCCATGCTAACCGGCACATATTAGGTTCATGATATTTTGAATCCTATTTAATAAATTTTAGTCAATTTTGTTAAAATTTTAAGGTGTAAATGTGAGCTTTTACTTTAGGGTCCGATTTCCGATGTGGGGCTCTCACTAGCACAGATTAGCTTCATGATATTTTGAATCCTATTTAACAAATTCCAATCAATTTCTTTATAATTTTAAAGTGACAACATGGGCTTTTTTTAGGGTCCGACTTTGACATGCAGCCCACATTTTGATACAGCAGTGTTAATTGGTGTGAAGTAGCTGCTTGTTGCATTAAATCATCTGCAACAAATTCTACTCAATTTGGATAAAATTTTATAACGTGAACTGGATATTTTGAATCTAGGGGTCCGACTTTTAATGTGAACCGATATATTCCACCAAACTTATATATACATTTTATGCAAACCCATGAGTTCTTATAACAAACCCACAAGTTCAATTAGTTTGTAGGTTGGAATAGGTTGGGTTGAAACATAAAAATATAGGGTGGAGTGGGTTGAAGAAGAGAGTTAATTTATTATGGGTTTGATTGGGTATGGGGTGGGTTTTAACCCATTAGCACGCCTACGTATGTTGTTTACCATTGCATAATAACTAATTGAATTGATCCTGCCAATAGTCCAAGTGCTCCTCTCAATCTACACCTTCCTGCTGAATAAAAATTAGCACAATGTATGTACATGCATCAGTAAATTTTACCATGGCTGACGGTTTTATAGTTAGGACTATCCTTACCATTGCAGAATAACTAATTGAATTGATCCTGCCAATAGTCCAAGTGCTCCTCTCAATCTACACCTTCCTGTGGAATAAAAATAACCACAATGTATGTACATGCATCAGTAAACTAGAATCATTAGTTTTGAAGTAACAATTGCCAGCTTAGCTTAACGTTTGAGGAAGATCCTAGAAATAGTTTTCTTGTTTAATTTTCTTTGTGTGGAAGATTGTTCTAGTTATTTAATTGTATGTGTACAAGTGATTTAACTATTTCTGGCCTATATACCATTATATTTTTCATATACTAACTGTACTCTACTGCAGTATGCAAAACATAAACATCTTCAGGTGGATCCTCCACCGGCCAAGCTCGCAGAAAATGTAGAAGTCACAGAGAAGATCATATTATCAGCATTGAGGCGAGCCCTCGCTCAACATTCAAGTCTGCAAGCAGATGATGGATGCTGGCCAGCAGACTATAGTGGCCTTTTGTTCATTATGCCTCTCTTGGTACGCTTTAGTTTGAAACTGACACTGTCATTTGACTTGAATCAGATAGTTTATGTTCGATGCTATGCCTATTAGTTCATTATTGATTGGCATATGCCATACAGAACTACCATAAACATGGAGGAAAAAAGATTATTTGTTTGTCTATTTGGTACAATAAATAACAGTAACAGAAATAGGTATTCAGCTTAATCCTTTCTTCAAAGTCATCCTTAATACAAGTATGCAAACTGTCCGCTGTGAAGTAACTGTATACCTTATTACTTGACTTGCATGCAAATCTTTGAGAATTCTAAATTATTTCAGGTATTCGCTCTATATACCACTGGATTACTCAATACTGTCCTATCTAAAGAACACCAACGTGAGATATGTCGCTATATTTACAATCATCAGGCATGTTTATTATGACAGTCTATTTACTTTCTTATAATGTCATTTGGTCTATTCCTAAGGGAAATTAGAAATCTTTTATGTAACATGATCCTTGTAGAATGAAGATGGTGGTTGGGGTAAACAAGTGTTGGGACCGAGCACCATGTTCGGCTCATGCTTAAACTATGTTGCATTAAGACTTATTGGTGAAGATTGCACGAATGTTGCATTGACCAAAGGACGTGAGTGGATTTTGTCTCATGGAAGTGCAGCTGCAATTCCGCAATGGGGAAAGATATGGTTCTCGGTATGTCATTTAATAAAATATTTTTTTCATGTAAATACATGATTATGTAAAGGCAACTAGGCTCCATATATATAATATTTTGCCACAAACCTAGGCAAAAATGAAAAGCCCTTTCACAAACTTTAAACTCTATGTATATTCCAGATTTTGAGTGTTAAACAATCCATTTTCTAAAATCATTTGATACTGGTATCAATTTTCAAAACTTTATTTTCCATTTAAATTAGAATGCTAAAGTACCTTCCATTTTTTGCAAAAGGAAAGTAGTATACTTGAATTTGAGATGAATGTGGTCATTGGACATGGTTTGGCCTGTGTGCCAAGTGTCCAAATCTGGGTTTATGTAGAATATAAATACAATTTTCTATAAGTCTATCAATTTTATTTGTCTATACTACTATTACAAGTTCTTAGGGTCCTTTTTGAAAGAAGATCTTACCAAAAATGGGATGCATAAACTTTCACTGTAGCTATGTACTTTTTATGTAAACTATAATTTTTCAGTTCTATATGAGTACTTCAAAGGTTCTTATCTTCTTAAATGAAGGTGATGGGTTTGTATGATTGGTCTGGAAACAATCCAATAATTCCTGAGTTATGGCTTCTCCCATACTTTCTGCCAATTCATCCAGGTACTTGTTTCTTAATATCTCAATACAATTAACTTCGAACCTTTGTTTTAGGCAATGTTCCTCATACTGAAGGCTTTGAGGATAAACTAGAAAAACGGAAGAGGTGGCGGCCTAGGAGGCCAGCATCTAGGGAATATTTATTTTAAAATCATTAATAAGGATCCTATGCAAAAATCATAATTATTTTAAAATTTGATCAAACAATTTATAGAAGTTGTTCTGGAGGTCCGTTAGAGTTGTAACAATCAAGGGAATAGAGAATTGCCATGCACCAGACAGGCATAAATGTTTACATGAATATGTTGTTGGTGTACTTTTGCAAAGCTCAAAGTACCCATGTATCTTGTTTTTGCGGTTTTACTTTTTTGTGGCCACCTCTCGTTGCCTCTGCCCATTGATATTTTGCAAAAAAAGAACAAATCAATGGTATATTTTGAAAACTGTAGATGCACACGGCATCACTTATTTGTAACTATTATCTAAAAAATCACTTATTTGTAACTAGAACAAGTATATCACTACAACAGAGATGTGACGTTGTATGATGCTTAGTTTCTGTCATAAACTTTAGTTTTTAGGTTGCTAAACATAATCTATGATGAACCAGTGACAAAAAATTTCATCGTCATAACAGGTGCATCTCTTAACACTTTTTGTGATGAATTGGTTATATAGCACCCGGTTTTAAGAACAAAACCAGATACGCACCATATATAAGCTCAGGAAGTCAAATCTCACATATAGCTACAAATAAGGGTAATATCGAAAGACAATGCTCAATATATAACGTACTTAGTATAAAAGATATAACCTTAAACAGTGGAAAGACAACTCCAATCTTTGGGTGAAGACTCCAATCCACAGGGACAATTGACTGGTTGATCACAAGCCTAATTTCTCCAAATTCTAGCAATCTGGTACCCATCCGGAAATTTCTAAAGATTTAAAAAGTAAAGCAAGTATAAGTACTTGTCGTACTCAACAAATATAACATAGAGTTCATGAGGCTCAAAAGGTTGACACTAGTTTACTACGATTAGTTTTTAATGAGTCATGATTTTAAGCAGTTGAATAGCAACAAGTTTATCACAAGCCCATGTAAACACATGATCAGGTAAATATGAATAATGAATAGCAAAAACAATAATCATAAGTGAGCATATGTATCATCAGTATTATTAGTGTTCATCATCTATTCCATAAGGGTTCCAAGGCCGCTCGTGACCATGAGCACGGCTGTTATAACAGTTTTACACTCTGTAGAGGTTATACACTTTCACTGTGGGTCATGATTTACCCTTTCGCCCGAGGTGATCAGCCTCTTGACCCAATACCAAGGAAGGTCCGTAGGGTTCACTATGAAGCCTTTCAAAGGTTCGTCTAACAAGTTAGGTACGATAGGATTCACTTTGCAAGCAGATATAGGAACCCCCTTTCGATTGACATAATTCCTTCACGGCTATACACATAAGAATAGAGGTTGTCATATACCCGACTCTACAAGCCCCTTTTGCGTCATAAAGGTAACCACTAACAAGCTAGAAAAGGTCATCATACTTGACTAAAGCCAGAGCCATGTGACCCTCATAGTTATACTGTAAGTCCCGAATGATCACTTACAGATAAGTTCTTAGGGAGAGGAATCTAAAGCACCATAATAATAGCCCAATGCTCCAGCCCCTTGATTACTAGTTACTAAAAACATCTTTTAGTGTTTATTGCATATTTCATTAGTCAAGTTACAAGATCATGGCTTTAGTTGATCACTAGCAACATACTACCTAATGCAATACCCCATAGGTGACAAGGAATCCAAGATATCAAATAGCTAGGAAACTTTACTATGGTTGCCAAGGTAGACACATGCATATGATTAAGTTATTAAGGTGAATAGGACAACAAGGAAGATCACATGCTATACTTGCCTTAAACTCTGGTCGTCTTCTAGTGAACTGTAACCTCCAAAGGATTTCTTTTGGATCACCAACTTCTTCTATGTCACCAACGCAAAGCTCACCGACTGGACATGATCATAAAGCACCACATAAGCATCCATACAATCATACACAAAGCAAACAATAGAACTAAATTAGAATAGTATACCAAACATAACAAACAATAAGTAAAAAGGTTTTAAAGATATTCTACACGTTACTACGATCACACAGGCGCGAAAAACACTCTAATCGAAGCTATAACAAAAACGTTATGAATTAAACAAGATTTTCTTTAATAAAATAACAAATTAAATCTAACTTCAAACTTCAAAAGTTGAAAACATGTTTAACAGTAGGATGAACTCGTTGATTACGTAATTATGAATCTAACACAACTTGAACGGATCAAATCGGAGTTAAAACGAAGATTTTATGGCCTAAATAAAACTAGTGGCAAAATTATAAATAGATGAAAGCGTATTTTGGATCTAATCGAAGCAACTACATTTTGAAAAGAAGAAAACGTATTTTGAATCTAACAGAGGAATTCTACGCTTTCTGAAAGAGAAAACGTATTTTAAAACTAATAGAGAGAAACTACGCTTTCAGAATAGGAAAATGTACTCTGGGAGTACGCCTTGGACTGTGGGTTCTATTTCATGAAACTATAGGGGCTCTTATGGAAAAATGCCATGACGAAGGGGTGTCGACCGATCTCAGTCTCTAGATCTTAGATGAACGGAGGAGATTAGATAGGAGGGAGTGAGTAAGGGGGCGGGTGGCCAGAACAGAGATAGGAGGCGGTGGTGCCATGGCCGACGGCGAGCACTTCATCGGAACTCATCGAATCGGTGACTCGGGCCTTCATTGGTCATGGGAAAAGCATGGGGAGCAAGAGGAGATGATGGCAAACTCACCAAGGTAGGTCACAGTGGCGCGGGGCAGATGGAGGCGGTGCGCGGCTCGGCGGAGTGGACGACGACAAGCTAGGGTTGCGGCTCAGCGGCTGCGAGCTCAGGACGAGGCGAGGCGGCTTTGGTGACTTGATGGGAGGCGGCACGGTGTGGCCTACTATTTAAGGGGGCGGGTAAGCATGGGGCGCACGCCATCCGAGCGAGGACAGGGCGACAGCGGACTCCGGCGCGGTGGTGGTGTCCGACGCGGACATGAACTGGAGGTGGATGATGACTCTGCTGACGCGTGGGCCCAGTTCGTTAGCGACTGTGCGGGAGTGGAGGCGGGGACACGGCCTGCGAACGGAGGCACGGGCCTTCGGGGAAACGACCAGTTGGGTCGAGCGGGAGGGAAGCGGAGAAAGCGGGTGGGATGGGGAGAAGCAGGTTGAGTGGGCCAAAAGAATGAGAGGGAAGAAAGGAATTCCTCTTTTTTTCTTTTCTAAATTTCCAAAGCAAATTTTCAATTGGAATTTTGAATTTCTTTTGAATTTTGAATGAAACCACTCAGCACAAAAACTCCAATGCAGCAGCATGTATGCACAAACATGTTGCTACCTTATGATAAATTTTAATTTAATGAAATTTTTCATTTTCCTATATTTTCATGAGCACAAAAATACAGAATTAAATCATTTTAGCTCTATTTCAGAAGAAGCAAATTTTAGGGTGTTACACGTTAGAAAATATCATAAATTAGTGACGAGCACATGGAATATAATGGTCATAAAAAATGTGGCAAACCATTTGCCTAAAGCAAGATAGATGGCAACAAAGGCATGCCAATCACATGGTAGAAACATTGTGAAAATTTTAGTTTTCATAAATTAAGGCTCAATTGTAAGTTTGTTTGAAAAATTAAGGCTCAATTGTAAGTATGTTCCATATAAGTTTGTTTGAAAATTTTAAATTTTACATTTGAAAATATGTGAATTTAAACAATATTTTGGGACTCCAAACAGTTTGAAATAAAAACCTTCTCAACTGTAAGTTATAGATCGTATCAAGGGCTACAATTTTGATATAAAGTTTATCTTCATCCTACTTTATATGGATAAGTTATAAATTATTTTTTGATACAAATATTTCTAGAGACAGATCTCTTAAGATGTCTACCTCTGTTAATTAATTCTTAGAGACGGGCCCTTAGAACGGATGCCTCTGTTAATAGAGATTTTTAGAGATGGGCATTCTAAGATGCCTGCCTTTGTTAATCATCGATTAACAGAGGCTATCGTCTACCCACCTCTATAAATGATTAACAGTGGCGGGCATTTGCTTGGAGGCCACCTGACTATTTACGGAGGCGGTCTCTAGATGTGTCCACCTCTGTTAATCAAAGAGATTGCCTCCTAAAATCATTTTTGTGGTAGTGTATCGGTATCATGCTCCTCTACCTACTCTCATGCCAAGATGGCCTCCTAAAATTTGGCGAAGGCATACATGAGGAGGCTTGGCAACGTATCTAATGTTATAATTGTACCACTGTAAATATCGTCTATCTGGTACTAAACCTTTTATATTTCTTACTTTCTATCAGGACGATTTTGGATACTTTGCCGTATGGTGTATCTGCCTATGGCTTATCTGTTTGGTAAAAAGTTTGTGGGAGAAGTTACACCAACTATATTGGAATTAAGGAATGAGCTCTATTGTGTACCATACAGTGAGGTTGATTGGGAAAAAGCTCGTGATACTTGTGCCAAGGTTCATTTTTGCTAACATGTGGTTACTTTGTCATACATTTTTTATTACTTTGTTGTATAAAAACGTATATATAAGTTTTCTTATTGTAAATAAGTCAAAGCAACCTATATATTTCAAATGGTGTAGTATCAAAAATCAATTATATGTCTGAAAATTTTTGAAAGGGTCTCAAATGTACCTTAGGTATGTTAAATTATGTATTGAACTTCTCCAATCTTGATATTCACACATGCTTGTATGGTGTAAGAGGGATGGTGAGAGGAAACTTTTTCCTTGCTTATACATTGTTCTACATGTAAGTAAGCTGACTTTTACAAATGAGAGTATCATTACATTGGATTTGTTAAATCCTTGCATAAACAATGAGCACCTTTCTTCTCATAGCAACTTCAGTGATGATATTTAGTGCTTGAAACAAAAGCCAGTACGTATGTGGCACGAAGAAAATAATATTTTCATTCAAGTTTGCATTTAGTTTTTTCTTGGGATATGTCACATAAAAAGTGCATGGGCCTAGAGTTGAGATATGTCCAAGACATCATATAAGCTTGTGGTATAAAAATTAAGAACTTTCACAAAAAATGTTTACTATCTTGCTCTTTGGAAAATAACAAAATGTAAAGAAAGTCAAGGGGTGTAAAAAAGCATGATGGGCTTATTTGATATGCTTCCGTTAATTGGAAGGTACTAGGAGTTCTACTTGTAGTTCTGAAGTCCACCATATTTTGTTGATCATTTTGGTCATAAAAACGTGTCCACCGTATCTTAAGTGTATATATAAAAGACACCAGAATTTATATTGTCTTGTGTAGTATTTTAAGCAGCAACAACGAAAGTCTACCCAAAATTTAAATGCCTGACTCATTCTACTTATGACATGTTTTCTTTTTCTGCATCTAGGTGGACCTTATATATCCAAAGACAATGGCACAAAATCTTGTATGGACTTGCCTTAATAAGGTTATAGAACCAATGCTGAATTGGTGGCCAGTAAATAAGATAAGGGATGTAGCATTGAAAAACATCATGGAACATATCCACTATGAAGATGAAACTAGTAAATACATATGTATATGTCCGATAAACAAGGTAATATGCATAAATTCTCAAGAGTGAATTTATTGTTTGTTAAAAAATGGAGGTCTAGCTTCATTTTCTACTATGTGAGCAAAGTTTAGCTTTCTTAGCTAATGTTGGCAAAGGAAAACATTTTGTGTAGACCTAGGCATATCTAAATAGAATAGATTTAACTAATAGTATATATCATGATACTCTTTAAGGCAGAGCCCATAGCTTGGCACTAGTTCATCTATTTGAATTTTGTCCTACAAACTTATATATTGATGCAATGGTTCTTGAAGTTTCGTAGGAGTATTTAAAATTGATTCATAATGGATAAAAAGGTAATTGACTAGCTTAGTAAATCAATGTGCTGAATCGTGAAGTGGACTTGTTTCTTAAAGAACCAAATGTATGGATTCATGAATTGTTGTAACAAAACTAACTTGACTTATCTTTTCTTACGTATAAGTTAAACAATTTTGAAACGATATTGTACTAATAAATAGGTACTTGTCAACTTTTTTGCTAGTAGGCACTAGATATGATTTGTTGTTGGGCAGAAAATCCAAATTCAGATGCGTTCAAACAACATCTTCCAAGGATATATGATTTGCTATGGCTTGCTGAAGATGGAATGAAGGCACAGGTATTCTCTTGCATGCCTTGTGTAGTATTTTACCACTATCCTTTTTTCATTGTTGTCAATGGCTTATAATTGTTACTGCAAAACTTTGGTGACATATATTGTAGATTCTGGTTAATTTGTTTACTATGAGCAAGTGTACAAAAGAAATTAGCATGTCAAGATATTACTATTCACAACTTTAGAGATTAATTTCTGAAATGGAAATTATTTTATTAATGTTTTCAAACACAATTTGGCAATTGATTAAATTTTATGAATGTCTGCATTTTCTAGAGAGTAGCTAACATGAAAATATTTTCTTTTTCATTTATACATACGTTCTTGATAACATGACATATTTCATTGCTATGAGATAAACATTTGTATCAGTTTTTTTTCTGTATAAGAACTAGGGTTCATTATATCCTCGTACCCTTGGGCATTTTTTTGTGGTGAAGTGTTTAGAGATGGGGTAATAAAACATGTTTAGTTGCAATTTTCTAGAGAATCGGTTTTGGTTTGGTAGTTTTGATCATGATTATTGAATACTCTGGCAGAAAAATTGTTACAATTTAATTTGTCCACTATGGAGTTTTTAGGAAACTATGCAAAGTCATTTTTCACAAGAACTCAATGTTTTGATTTTTAAGGAAACATGTTCTCCCAATTCTAGTATGCCCAAACAACATTTTTTGAGCTTAGTTGAAAAGCCAATTTAAATTGGTACTGCCTAAGACTAGCTACCCAAACAACACTTTGGCTTTTGACTTAAAAAACAAATTTTCTAGCAGTTAGTTGAATATCATCCAACTTAAATTTCTCCCCCCCCCCCCAAAAACTAGGTACCCAAACAATAAAAGACCAAGGCTAATCTCGATGCCAACCTAAGCACAAAAACAAAATACACATAGGTTGTCCTCAATACTCATTATTATTCATCAACCGACTTTTTAATCCCTTGTTTTGACCTCGAACACTAGTATGTCAAAGACCAGAACAAAATTTATTTAGAATTTGAAAACTTTTTTCACCACTGCCAAATGGTGCAAATGATACCACTATCAATATCTAGAAAATTCTTCGACTTGTTTCTTGTTGTAGCAACATTCTAGTGAAGTCATTTATAATTCATAATATTCATCATACACTAACACTATAATACAACCAAAAAGTTTGAACATCACTATTCTACTGCTTCCGTTCCAAATTATTAGATGTTTTAGCTTTTCTAGATACATTGGTTGTACTATGTATCTACATAGCAAAACTACGTATCTAGAAAAGCCAAATATTATTACAATTTGTAATGGAGGGAGCAACATATAACCTAGGTCACTCAATCCAAAAGCCATGTTCATGTAATCCCTGGAATGCTTGGACATAAGTCTAACTTTTTCACAAAGATATTATGGTACGATAACACTTAAGTTACCGCAGTTATTTTCAATCATAGTGATTTGCAATAAATAGCATGTCCATAGCCATTTAGGGCACAATGGTGACTTTTGAGCTAGCTCTAAGAATATTGTTTTATATTTTAATAGAAGAGAAAGAAAAGTTATCTCTTGATCAAGAGCTAGTCTCATTCATACACTTCAAGATCATGTGAGATTGTCATGTGGGACTATTCATATTATGAGTTATGTGCAAAAAGTTAATACCATTGGAGAAGTTGCCTTAGACTTAGTAACTATCTAATACGGTTGATGGTGCCCTTTCTTGTACATACTATTTCTAAAAACAAGCTATTTTGTTCATATTATTTCTAAAAACAAGCATTACAAAAACTCTCTATAATAGGTCTATGATGGTTGTACAACATGGGAGACTGCTTTCATTGTTCAAGCCTATTGCTCGACAGGTCTTGTCAATGAGATTGGTTCAACACTTCGTAAAGCTCATGAATTCATTAAATGTTCACAGGTTCAAGTTACCCATTATTATTATTGTTGTTGTAAATTAACATGTTTATAAGGAAAAAATTTCAAGTGTATTCTTATATGTAGATTAGTGAAAACCATTTGGACTACAAATCTTACTACCGTCATGCATCAAAAGGTTCATGGACACTTTCAACAGCAGATAATGGGTGTTCAATATCTGACTGTACTGCTGAGGCATTGAAGGTCAGAAAAAACGCTTCTTATATATCTAATTTACTTAAAAATTTGAGTGTGTTTTTCCCTAGTCAAAATATAATTGATATGTTGTGATATAATAGCATATATAGCACTATTTCAGCCATTGTCAACAAAATGTAGTTTTGTTAGAGTTTCCATACTATTTTATTATAGAAAGTGATAGTGGGATAAACAAGACATGTACACTAGTTAAGTATTTACATGCATGTCAAACACTATTGGCTTTTATTTATCTTCTCTATAATGCGCATACTATCTTATTTTTCCAAACACACTTACATGTGTGAAAATGTACAATTCTATCATAAATCATGATTAAATAGAACCCTTTTTGAGTGCCCTTAAGTGGAAATATTTATGATACATCATTCTACAGAAATTGCTTATTGAAATTCTTTTCCATTAACACTCACCTTCCGTTCTTTAGGCATTGCTATTGTTATCAAAGATCTCTCCAGATCTTGTGGGGGAACCCATAAAAGGAGAAAGTCTGTATGATGCAGTTGATTGCTTACTTTCTTTTGTGGTATGACACTACCTTTGAGAATATTTGTCATGTTCTTATATATTATAACTATTAATATTACACAAGATGACATAATCTATCTCAATACTAGCTCCCATGTTTACATCAATATTTCAAATCACATATTCATTACATAGAACACACCACGTGTTTTTTAGGATTCGAACCCGGGAACTCAACGTTCATGTTCCCTCGAACGCTCATACCAGCTGAACTACACAACACATGTGACTATACAACTAACACTATTCTTTTAACTAAATATTTTTTAATCTTATATTGTATATGAAACACTCAAAACAATCTCAAATGAAAAAGTTGTTAACTGCCAAGATGTAGATCTCGTCAAGTGCTACAACTATGATATTGACTTTCTCTCCATGGACATTGTTAATCATGCCAAATATGATCCGAGAACGTATATTGAATATTTGGACTCGTAAACCATCTCAAATTAAAAAGTTGTCAACTACAAAGCCTTAGATCTTTTTAAACTCTACAATTTGGATACAAAGAGTATCTTAATCTGATATGATATGAAAAGTATTTTTTTGTGCAAAACAACTATCACTGCCAGTTTCAAGCCACAAACTGGTAGCGATAATCCAAATATCACTGCCAGTTGAAGCCACGAACTACTGCTAGATCTAAAATAACTGGTAGTGATAGCATGGAGGTACATGTAACACCATGCATCCAAAATCTGCTTATATAGCCTAGCTCAGCACATGGAACATGCCTGCATATATATGTGTAGCACCTCTCTTAGATTTTCTTCCTCGCTTCGTGTAAAAGGGTTAACCCAGAGGTGCTATGTTTGGAATGAGAAGGAATATAAGCTGGCCTTCACACTCCTAAGCTTCCAAGGTGGTACTAAACCCACCAACAATAGCGCCTCATGTGCCACATGGGACAACAACACAACTACATGCTTCTAACAGTGAATGGTGATATACATAGTGAGGAACTAAATTTGAAAAGGCGAATACAATAACTTGTGTCATATATATAGTGACTGCATAGCACAAGGGTACTATTGCCATCGACAGATTTGTGTCACCAATATTGCATCCAATTTTCAGTCTGGATGAGTTATGGCCATTGAAAGATCTAGGCCTTTGAAACCAGCTTTGCTGGTTTTGGGATCCCGCCTGGCCACTTTTGTTAGCCTAATCTGATTTAGAAGTTATATTTTTTCATAATATTTATTTGAGTTTTGGGTCCTAAGAGGGGAAGACCTCCCACCCTATAAATGTTGAGGACCATGGCCGGTGGATACACATCCAATCAAATCAAAACAATCTATGTCTTTCAAGATAGTTCTTTTAACTAATTTGTTTTGCTTTTGTACACTTGCTTTTATCTATTGTTTTTTATTTTGTTCCTATTTTGTTGAAGAACAATGATGGAAGCTTCTCTGCATACGAGTGTAAGAGAACCACACCTTTGTTGGAGGTGAGTTGTTTAAGGTGCAATATTTTTTAGTCTAGAAAACAATTTCTGTAAATTCAATGATAAAAGATTCTGGTGAGGAGAGAATTTTAACTGTATCAAGTCTGTCACAGACACTGAATCTTTTAAAAATCAGAAGATAGCTACCGTCCTTCCCCTTCTAAGACCTGACATAGAATCTTCCAGATTTCAGCATTACCTTTAATGCTACAAATACAATTGGCACACTCGTAACTTATTGTATTATCCATAAAGATATACATATGAACTATGAAATACATTGGTTTCAGGGTCATGCAAGGGTGTGCATCTTGTGTAATACTTCCATAAATATCCAAATGCTATTATTGTTATTAACGTCATCCCTAATTGCATGATGCTCACTAGGATTTTGTTGCCAATAGGTTCTCAACCCTTCGGAGAGCTTTCTGAATATTATTGTTGATTATCCGTAAGAAATGAAATATCTTCTTAACTGGAAAAATGCAATTGCTTCATGTTTTTCATATACAAGGGAGCTGATTTATTGTCTCGAACCAACTGACAGATGTGTTGAATGCACCTCATCTGTGCTACAAGCTCTGATTATGTTTAGAGACCTAGATCATGTGTACCGCAAAGAAGAGATAGGAAATTGCATTGAAAGAGCCTCCAGGTTTATTGAGAAGGAACAACGAAAAGATGGCTCCTGGTCTCTAAAATTTTACTACTTGTTATATGCAAATTATTCTCATTTTTATATGGATTCAATAACTAGATTACCTATGATATAATAGGTTTGGCAGCTGGGGTATATGTTTCACTTATGGGACATTCTTTGCGGTAAAAGGGCTAGCTCTTTCTGGAAGAACTTATGAAAATAGTGATGCCATCAGGAAAGCTTGTAGCTTTTTGTTGTCAAAGCAGCTACATACAGGTGGATGGGGAGAAACTTATCTTTCTAGTGAAACTGAGGTAAGTGTTACGTCTCATTATACGACTTTGTGGTGGATTTTGCTCAGTTCAAGTTATATTTCTATATTTGTTAATTTAATATATAGATACATGATATTATCTTGTGGCAATGTTTAAATCTGTTTTTTATTAGATTCAGTTGTAAATTTTCCATGAATCCTTGTTTACAACAACTAGTATCCTCTTTCATGACATCTAGGAGACAAAAGAAATTTGTCGCACCCGTTTTGAAGGACAAAATCGGATGCATAATCCTATGTGTGCCCAGGAATCAGTTACACATATAAGACAACAAATTACAATAGTATAAATAGACTAAGCTTTATTATATAATGAACAACAATATTACATAGGGGTAAATATTTATTAGAGTTGCGGAAGTATACACTCTAATCTTCAAGTGAAGCCTCCAAGCACCACAGGAACGGTTGACTGGGGGTACATACGCATAGCACTCCTCAAAAACTTTAACCAAGCTCCATCTTTTGTTACCCATCCTTGATTTTTCCAAAATTTGAATATAAAGCAAGCGTAAGTACGTGTCGTACTCAACAAATATAACAAGGGGGTCATGAGGCTCAAAAGGCTGACACTGGTTTATTGCGGTTTGCTTTTAGTGAATCATAATTTTAACAATTGGGTAGCAACAAGTTTAGCACAAGCCCATATGACCACATGATCATGTAAACAAGAATAATGTATAGCACAAACAAATTAATCATAGGTGTTCTTCTATTATTCCACAAGGATCCCAAGGCCGCTCATGTCCGTGAGCATGGCTGATATATCAGTTTTACACTCTGCAGAGGTTGTACACTTTCACCATGAGCCGTGATTTTCCCTTTCGACCGAGGTGATCAGCCTCTTGACCCACTTCCAAGGAAGATCGGCATGGTTCACTATGAAGCCTTTCAAAGGTTCGTCTAACAAGTTAGTAGCCGCTAAGTTTCCGTGACAAGCAGGTGTAGGAACCCCCTTTCCAATGGCACAAATCCTTCTCGGCTATACACATGGAAACAAAGGTTGTCCTATACCCGTCTTGTCAAGCCCCTTTTGCGTCTTTCGGTAACCACTAACAAGCTAGAAAAGGTCCTCATACTTGACTAAAACTAGAGCCATATAGCACTCATGGTTGTACTGTAAGTCCCGGGTTATCACTTACAGATAAGTCCGTTAGAGAGAGACTAAAGCATTTGGACAGTAGCCAAATACTCCAGCACCCTTTTGTCCATGTTGCTAAAAAGCATATTTTAACGTTTATTGCATATACCATTAGTCAAGTTACAGATCATGATCATTAATTGAGCACTAGCAGAAATACTACCCAATGCATATAACCCATAGGTATCAAGGTATAAATGTAACAATAGCTAGGATATCTTTAGTGATAATCAAGGTAGACACATGTTGTATGAATTAAGTGATTAAAGGTGAATAGGTAACAATGATGATCCCATGTTATGCTTGCCTTTTTACACTTGCTTTCCACTCAAGACAACTGCTCATAGAACTTGTACAATCTTCTCTTCTGCAGCTTTCGGCCTCGAGTGCACACGTATAGTTTTCTTCTACTTGTAGCAAACACCAAGCACGGAAAACATACAAACAAGAAATAAAAACAACTAAGAACAGTGCATCAATCATAGCAAAAGCTTTAAAACCAACGTGCTAAAAGAGGGCTCCTTGCTACGATCATGAGAACACAGGAAACGCCAAAGCGAAGCTACGGTTAAAAAGAAACGACTATCGAGACTTTTATATTATATAAAAGAAAAAAGTCTATATGCTTGATTTATTTTAATTGAGTAAAACCATGTGAAAAGCTATTAAAATCATATTAGTCAAAACATAATTTAATTCAAAAGTCGGGTTAAAACTACACATATTTTATGTATAAACAGTGCCATATATATAATTTTATCAAGTTAAACTTTATCTTTCCAAAATAAAAGTGTATGTGAAAGCACAGTCAAGTTTATCACATATGCAACGTGTCTAAACTAAGTAACTTAGAATTTAGAAACACATTTATATAAGCAACTAATCACATTATTATTTTATGTATAAATTATCGAGTTATAAATTCTATATAGCTTTTAATTATAAATCCGATTGCATAATAAGCATTAATCAATTTAGCATTTAAATTAATAAAATAAAATCATAAACATGTGACATGAAAAGCATTAGCACTAATGAAACTAACCCAACTTAAACTGAACCAAAACTGAATTAAAACAAAGAAACGGTGGAGATCGAATGCTGATTATAGAGGTGGTGTATTTCTATTGTATTTCTGAATTTGTTTTCCTCAAGAAAAACGGCAATAATGTGTGCGTGACGTGATGATGGTGTCATCAAGCTAACAAGATGGCACGCACGGCCGGGCTGCTCTGCTAGCTTCGCTTACTCGCGTGGTGTCGCGCGTTTGCGCGCGTGCGTGCGCGCCGGGAGGCGGGGTGCAGGGCCTGGCGCGCTGGTTCAGCAGACTTGGGACCCGGTGCCGGCGGCGGCGCCATGGCTACCCACGGCGGAACTTCGCGGACGCAAAGCTCGGACCGAGCAGGAAGGCACACTACGATCAGCGAGAAGGAGCGCAGAAGATGGAGAGGCTCACTGCTCAGTCGATGGTGGAGCTCGTGATGGTCGCTACGGAACGGAGAGGGATGGAGCCGGTCAGAGGCGGACGGTGGTGGTAGGGAGCTCCGGCGTCCGGCGAGGTCGGGATGTCACCACGCGGCACCGGCCTGACCCGAGAGGTAGCGCGGCGGATGTGGCGTGACGCAGCGGTGCCAACCGACGAGGAAGGAGGGCTCGGGGTGCCTTCAGCTGGGCGGCAATGGCGGCGGTGACGGCGATTTGAGGGCGTTGCAGTGCGGGAAAGAGGGCATGGAGCAGTGTGTGGAGGCGGTGTGCTCGCAGGAGCTCGCCCTTAAAGGCGCTGGTGAACCTTGGTTCGCGCGCGGGGTTCGGATCGTGGCGGACCAAGGCAGCGGCGAGGAAAAGCTCTGGCTCGTGCGGGATTCGTTGGAGACGATGGTCCCACAGCTGACAGACGGAGGCTCAGTCTTCGTGGGCTGGATCGCGCGGGGCTTGGTCCACGCGGCGGACGCGGAAGCTGGAGCTTGGTCCGCGGCTTCGCGTCGATGGCGGAGGGAGGAAGGAGATAGAGCTGACGGATGGGCCCTGCCTGGAAGTGAGAGAGAGAGGAGGAGCCGGCGTGGGCTTGACTGGCTCCCATGCTCAGATGGGCTGTGGCCCAGGTAGAGAAAGGAGAGCGGGCCGATAAGAGTGAGAGACAGAGGATTCCGGCCCACAACAGAAAGGAGGGAGATTTTATAACCCTGTTTGAATTTGTGTAAATCAATTTTGAGACTTAATTCCAATCCTTTTTGAATCAAACAAAATTTGGAATCCAATTGGATCATTTTAAAGCAACCTTTTAAACATAGGTCAAAAATATATTTTCAATTTATTTCTCACACAAAGCATTTTAAACTTGGGTTTTTGATAAACAAAATAAAAATATATTCGGGCGTAAACGGGATTTCGATAAATCATTTGCACTCAATAAAACTAAATGCAATGGCATGAATGCAACAAACATATCAAATTAAATTATCAAATTTCCAGGAAATCACATATTTCGAATTATCAATAACCTATCCAAATCTTAGAAAAATTTAAGAAAATTATAAAACTATTTATTTTATTTAGTGCTTTCTATTCACAACCTAAAATAGAAATTTTGGGGTGTGACAAAATTTCATTGAATGGTGCAAATTTAATTTGGTTGTAGTAACCTCTCATTTCTTGATAGTATCCGGTTACTCTTGAATAACAATTAGTTGTTTAGGGTCATGTTTGTGTTAAATATTTGTTTGATGAGCCATTCTTTAAAAAACTTAATGGATTCTATATGAAAATACATGTGACACCATGTAACTGATAAAAAGTATATATTCATTCTTTTGTATCCTATATGCTTTGTAAATAAATAAGTTTCTAGTTACAAAGTTTCTATATCTATTGACGCGAGCCTACATATGTGTAGCTCCTCTTCTTCTACTTCTATCCTTGATTTGTGTAAAAGAGTTAACCTTAAGGTGTTAGGACAACCTATCTAGACAACTAACATGATACTAAACCTAGTACCGAAACACCTGGGTCAAACACGCCAAAACCAAAATAGTAATAGGTTAGGGTATTACGGGGTTATTGGTTCTTGAGGTTAAAACAGTCAATTCGGTTCATTCTTTACTTGTTTTTTTGTAGATTTTTTCTAAAATTCTTACCTTCAGTTTAGTATCACATACAATTGTTTATAGATACATCATGCTAATAGTTTGGATAAATTAGGGGCACATACCATCCATCCAATCATTTTTATATAAAGAATAATCCCAGTAACAAACTCTAATTACATGATTTATGTTGATTTTTTCAACCATGTTTAGTTGTCTTACTATGGCTAAGTGATAGTGTTTCCTGTATACAAGCAGCTATGAACTCAAGTACCTGTGGCTAATATGCTACAGCTGCATACAACCAACTCTTACTTCTTCACATACAATCTACTATTAATCTATTTTTTGTCACTTAAAGTATGAAAAATAAATAATATGTTCTGCTCTTGTCTTGGGTTTCCAAGGAAAATGTTATGTAATATATATAAAATTTGTACAACTTTCTAATAACTTGAGTATTACTATAAATTGGATGATTCATTGCATGCGTCATAGCAAACTGTTAAGCAATAATTCAATGTTATTCTTTTCTACCAAATATATTAATCATCAAAATCTCAATGAATTTTATCATGCCTTAGACTTAAATATTTTGCAGGAATATGTGGAAGCTAGTAGACCTCATGCAGTGAACACTGCATGGGCAATGTTAACCTTAGTTTATGGTGGGCAGGTATGTATTTTGCAAATTGATTAGAATTTCTGGTTACATATTTATGAAATTATTATGGTCTCCATCCAGTCTAAACTATAATATGCTTTGACTTTTCTAGATACAAAGTTTTTGCTATTCACTTAGATATACCCTATGTCAAGATACGTAGTAAAAGAAATGTATCTAAAAATATCAAAACGTCTTATAATTTAGAACATGAGAGTATTATGCTAATTGTTTGATACTACGGGCGTGCTGTGCAGGTGGAACGTGATCCAACACCATTATATAAAGCTGCAAAAGAGTTGATCAATATGCAACTAGATTCTGGAGACTTTCCCCAACAAGTAAGTTATTTATTTACTTTTTTCTCGTAGAAGAACAAAATTTAGATTCATGATTTATTAGGTTGTTCTTTTCTCTTTCAGCAAAAAAGTTATTTGTCAATATTATTTGTCAAGGTCCCCCAAGGTATCGAATTAAATTGTTACCTTTCGCAACAAATTTTATGATAGTTTAAACCGGATAGGAAAATATATACGTACGTTACACACCTCAATAAGGAACTTAAATTGCAGTGATGCAATTAAACCCTACCATTTCAACTAACGGATGCCATAAATTATGTCTAATATATAGCAATCATAAGGCAACTTCATTGGTGTTGTCTCATAGATGATCTCATAAATGCCACGTAATCATGAGACTGTTCAACAACCAACTCATACAATGGGTTGTCCTTTAAGTTGTCTTATATATAGCAGTTCAATTATCCTCAATTTGTGCAATAAAGAAAAGGAAGTTTGTGAGTTGCATGGAAACATTAAATCATACAATGGTAAGATATTTTTCTTATAGTCCTAATTTTTTTCTCATGAGGCGGTTGCTTCACGAAACAACCACCTCTTAATCTCACCTTCCTCTCTCTACTCCATATCATAAAAAATCATATGTGGCATTGCATGAGATGCCCTTATCTCCTCAATTGCTTGAAGATTTTGATGTTCCAGTCAAAGCACTAACCCCTCTCTCGTCTAATAACACTAGTGCGATCAGTATTGCTTGGGATCCCATGGGGGCATGGTCTAAGAAACAAAACTGGCTTTTGTGCTTCTTACCTGAGATCGCAAGGGCAAAATCAGGTTGTGCCTTTGCCCATGCGTTCAGAGGTTCAGCTTACAAATTTCATCATGAAGGCGCAGACATGAGCATAGTGGTTATTTGCTAGCCAAACATAGTGTTGCTGATTCACCTAGACTTTGAGGGGGTGTGAGATATATATGCCTATGTATTTTACATAGACCATAGGGTGTTTTGTGCATTTTGTACATATCCATGTTTCCCCTATGAGGCATGGCAATAGAGTTGAGTTTGTTTCAAGACAACAAAACTATGGGGAAAACTATATCTATGGCCAGCCTTATAATTTCACTGATATATTCTATAGCTTCAAATTAAAGCGCAACAATGTAGTAATAGTCAAAGTAGGATGTATATATTCTATTGCATTCAGGCCGGATAGTTCTTGCTCGGGCCCCAAATAAATTGCTTTTTGCAGCGGACTACTTAAATAATGTGTTGTCCTGGCACACCTCAGTGGCACAATATATATACATTAGGTGGACTGATAGTTCAATTCCACTTATGGTCATGTTTCACTGAGCTCCAGCTCCATGAAATCTTAGATTTAGAGGTAGAGGTAAGATGAGAATGTTTAGAAAATAAATTTTGTTTCCTTGTCTAAACTATATAAATATTTATGTCATTTAAATTTGGTTTGCAGACTATAGATAAACATCGACCTAGAGCTGTGCTAAATATGCCCTTACTTGCTAGTGCATGACTTTTGATTGCAGGAACACGTTGGGTGCTTCAATAGTTCCATATACTTCAATTATGGAAACTACCGCAACTTGTACCCTATATGGGCTCTTGGGGAATTTCGTCGTCGGCTTCTTGAAAGAAAGAAGTGAAACCAATATACATGATGCCTAGGCTATTTATACTGTATTGCGAAGAATAAAATAATGTTCAGAATTACAGTTATATATGTTAGTAACTGTGCTCTGTATGGCTATATTATGATAGTGGAAAATTGATGCCCGTCCTGCACATGATGTGTCCTCCCCCATCTGAATACAAAGCTATGGCGGTTTATCTCTTTTTATGATTTCTGAATCAATGTTTACTAGAACTGAAAAGGTTCTGGAAAAGAGCATAACCAGTTGTACTAACAGATTCATTTTAAACTATATGATACATGATGGCAATAAATTATGAAACTTGTACTTTAGATCAATTTATACATTTTGACTAAAGCATTATGAGATATCTACATTGATAGTATAATTGTAAGAACTCTACTGTTGTAATAATACCCACATAATTATTTAGATAGTTCTTGTTCCGGCCTGAAATAAATTGAGTCTTGCAGTAGTGTACTTAAATTGAATATGCGGTCCTGGCAAACCTCAACAGCGCAATATACATTAGTTAAACTGATAGTTCGACACCACTTAAGGTCACGTTTCACTTATTAGCTCCAACTCCAAGAAATCTTAATTAGATCTAGTGGTAGAGATAACTCGAGAATGTTTAGAAAGAAATATTCTGTTTATCGTCTAAACTAAATATAAATATTTAAGCCACATTAAATTTGGTATGCAGACTATAGCTAAACATGGACCTTAGCGCTATGCTAAATTTGTCCTTAGTTACTGGTGCATGACCGACTTTTGATTGCAGGAACATGTTGGGTGCTTCAATAGTTCCTTATACTTAAATTATGGGAACTATGGCAACTTGTACCCCATATGGGCTCTTGGGGAATTTCGTCAACGGCTCCTTGTAAGAAAGCCACCACGCTAGCAGGTATTTGTAGGGGCAGCTTATGTGCATTTGTAGCCGTGGTTTTGCCAGCTGCCTCTAAGCAACCGCGGCTACAAATGCCAGGTTTGTAGGGGCGGTTGGCCAGCCGTCCCTATAAATCAATTTTCAGAAATCATGAAAAAATTGCCAAAAAATAGTAAAAAAAAAAATTTAATCTGCGGAGGCCCCCACTAGGTCAGCCACACACCTGCTCCCTAGCCGTGGCAGAACCCACGACCTCTCTCTCGCGTGTACACTCCTCTACCACTGCACCTCATAATCATTTGTGTGTATAATCCATTTTGGTTCCTCACATATTATCCTAAACCGAGCATAAATTGATTGTTTGATGCCCTAAATGAATTCAAATGAAAAAGTTATCAACTACAAAATTTCATATCTTTTCGAGATCTACAACTTTCATTTTTGTTGTTTGTCCATCCGAGGTCGTTTAAAAATTTTAAATTTCAAATTTTTGAAAATTCAAACATAGTTTTCCTTGACGAGATGATCTCAAATGAAAAAGTTGTGAACTATAAAGTTTTATAACTTTTCGAGATCTACAACTTTTATTTTGGTAGTTTCCCTATCCGAGGTCGTTTGAAAATTTTGAAATTCAAATTTGAGAAATTCAAACGTAGTTTTCCTTGAGAAAATGAATTCAAATTAAAAAGTTATCAATTACAAAGTTCTATAACTTTCTGGGATCTACAACTTTTATTTTGGTCATTTCTTCATCCGACAAAGTTATAGTAATATGGAACTATAAGAGAGATGTAAATTTTGTGAATAATGTTACTACCACTTTGTCGGAAGAAGAAATGACCAAAATAAAAGTTGTAGGTCTTAATGACTTTTACAACTTTTATGTTCAGGACTTTTTCAGTTGAAATCACTTAATGTTTCAAAATAACGTTTGAAGTTGCCATTTTCTAAAATTCAAAATTCAAATAGATAAAACACAGTCATATGAAAAGATGGACAAAATAATAACAGTAAGAACACAATAAATTGACAGAGCATAATTTTAGAAAATCTTAGAAAAAATCATCAAATTTGAAGTTAGTATGAGGGAGAAAGACTAGTTGGCCAAAATTGAATTTTAAATAGTATTTTGAAGTAGTAAATGATTTTAAATGAAAATATTGTAAACAACAAAGTTTCATAACTTTTCGAGATCTACAACCTTTATTTTGGTCATTTCTCCATCCAAGGTCGTTTGAAAATATTCAAATTTTAGTGTTTAATTTTTACTATTCGACGTCTATTCGTAGAGTGCCCCTATAAATCCGATTTGTAGGGCCAGCCACCCCTACAAATCAAAGTCATTTGTAGAGGCGGCTGATAACACCAGCAACTCCTACAAGTAGGGGCGGCTCGTTTGGGCACCATTTGTAGGGGTCTGCAAATCCTTTTTTAGTAGAGAGAAGAAACAAAATGCATGAAACCTAGGCTATTTTACTTTATTACAAAGAATAAAAAATCTTCAGAATTACTGTTATATGTTAATAATTGTGCTCTACATGGTCCTGTTATGATAGTGGAAAACTGATGGTCGTCCTACATGATGTGTTATTGTGACCTTCCGTGTCTAAGGATAGGCTGTCGTCCTTTCTCATTTTTATGATTTCTTGATCAATGATTACCAGAACTGAAAAGTTTCTGAAAAAAGAATGTAACTAGTTGAACTAATTAACAATTCATTTAAATTATATGAATACATGATGACAATAAATTATGAAATTTTGTGGCTGAAAAGACAGTGTTCAGTAGGTGCTGTATCAGATGGGCTGAAAAACGTTGTGGCTGGAAGAAGATCGCTAGCTGAAGAACGCCATGTACAATATTTATTCTAGGATATTGGTTTGTTCTTTCCTTGAAATAAAATCAAAATTTTATTTGTAGGTTGCATAGCGTATTCTGTCGTTAAGTTGTAAAGCATCTACTTTCCCCTCCCTCGCGTCGTCGGAGGCAACCCTACGGCACCTGCCTGCCCAGCCGAGCGCCCCTCCCTCACGTTGCTGGCTCAGCGGCCGCCTCCGCGTTTGTGGTGGTGGCGGCCAGGAAGAGGGGGCTCAAAAAGGCTTCCTTCCTCGTCCTCCCCTCCTCTCCCACAGCTGCCTCCTCCCTCATGTCAACCCTAAATCCCTCGATTCGTACATAATTTGGCTAGATCAAGTGTCCTATGTGCTGGATCCTCTGTGCGGGGGGAGCATATATATATATGGAAGATGGAGGTCCCAGCATCCTCTGCGCGCAGGCACGGTGGTGGTGCCCGCACCTACACCCGGCTCGGCCTGTGCGGCTGTGGTGGCAAGGTGTCCGAGCACGCAGTAGGTTAGACCAGCGCGGCGGCGGACCCCGCGCCCACAGCCTGCTCGGCCAGCTCGTGGACAGATCCGCGCTCCTGGAGGCACTTGCTGGGAGGAGGCGTGGCCACGGCCGGGTCTGCACCCCACGTATGCGACAACACCACCGGCCTACACGGCGGTGCCTGCAACAGCACCCGCAGCTTGCATGGCAGTGGCCCCAGCGCCAGCAGCCTATAATCGGACTATGTGCGGCCTGCTATGGATCCATGCCCCTAGGGGCGCGTGCTAGGCGAGAGGCGGCCAGGGCCTAGCCTGCGGTGGTCGGCGGCCAGCGGGCATCATGGCCGGCTGGCTCGTGTCGGTGGTGGCTGGCTGCGAGCATCCAGGTGCTGATCGCGGCGGCATGAGGACTGCGTGCGCTCACATGCCTAGGCTCACGGCGCTGCTGGGGTGGAGTTGCGAGGCTTCTGAGCGGCCTCTTTCTCATGGGGACGCTTGTCGGGGTCATCGGCTCTGTCCGGATGCTCTGGGCCAGCAGCAATGGCACAGTTAGCGTCATCTACCTCTTTGGAGGCGTCATTGAAGATTTCATTCGTCACACATACCGCGGTGACAGGCCCAGGGGCAAAAGCCCTAATCGTGTGCTTCTTTCCGACAATGGTGTCATTCGCGGATGTCACTCCCCTTCGTGAAGGCATCGTTGGAGCAGTCTTGTGGCCGTGCCTCTACTCCATCTTCCGCTTCTCTCACCGGAGCTGCTCCTTGCTGCGTGGTGCCTGTGTGTGCTTCAAGCTCCTCTTTGCAGTCGTCTGTCCAACTGCTTGGTGTTGCCGCAATCGTTGGTTTTTGGTAGCGGATACTTCACCACTACCGCTCTTCTGACGGATACTTTGTCGTCATTGCTGCTCTGGCGGATGCTTTGCCGCCGATGTCGCATCAGTCTCCCCTCTCTGGCAGATGCTTTGCTGCCGTGAGCGTGATGGCCCCTCATCTTGCAGATGCTCTACTACTTCAGTCTTCTCAGGCGGATGCATTGCCGCCATTCATGTTGGATTCTTGGTGGATACTTTGCCACCACGGCTTCTCCCCTTTGTTGGCAACCATTGTGTTGATGTAATCTTCGTCTACAGGCTCACTAGGCTAGGGTTGTAAGGCGGAGGGTCCTTCTCCTTTCGCCTCCTTTTTCTCTCTTCTTACTTTGGGTTGGTCGCTTGTCTATGCGTCGCGTGAGCGGTCACCTTATTGCCTACGCCGCGTTCGCTATGGGTGTTTTGTTGTAAATGTCTTTTCTCCTCTTAATGAAACACGTGTCAACGGACATGTTCTCAAAAAAAAAGTTGCCAACCATCATGTACTGGTTGATAAAAGAGGAGTCCATTACGAGTAGTGGTATCAATAAATTGATCCTTGGCAACTCGATGTTAATCACAATACATGCTGTTTCGTGATAATCTTTGGCTCCGGCCCGTTACAAAGAACGTCATAATACTAGTTTCAGAAAGGAAACAAAGTTCTGGTCCCTGCATTCATCTGATAGATGTGACTATGTGAGTGTATACAGCTAGGCGAGACGTGAGGACCTAACCTTATTACTGAGGTTATCGCCACATTTGGTGCACGAACTTTTCACCCGAACTTGAGCATGAATCATGCGGTCCCAAAATGGCAAAATCTGAGTGCCGAGAAACTTCAAAACATTTGAGTAGCAATTAGCTTTTGTCTCTCTATAAGGTGACTTTTCATTAGTGAAGAGAGGATGGCCATGGCCTCAGAAAACATGTATTAATTTCAATCCAAAGTGAGGAAAATGTCAAAGAATATTGTGTATGTGTTCCACTCTCATAGAGAAATGAAGTTTCACATAGAGTCATATAAGAATTCAACGAATATATGAGTACTCTACTACAGTACTACACTTGAACCGCTTCGTTTGCAATCACACGAATATTACATGGCTTCATCTAGTCCGCGGTACATTCCTTGGGGAGCCCCGTGTCCTTGAACCGGTTCTGATCCTCGCAGTAGTCATAGAGCAGATGCTGCTCTCGCACCTTCTGCAGCGCCGCCGACGCCGGTGGCTCATCGCTGCACAATGCGACCACGGTGGACGACGACGGCGCGCACGGCGTCACGCGGAGGTTGCGGTAGTAGGCGTAGAAGGGCGCATGCGTCCAGTCCGTCTTGACGCGGCCGCCCTGCGTCGCCCAGTCGTCGGCGTTCCACAGGCTCCCGTCCAGCCGCATGTGCCGCTGCGTCGGGAACGTCCCGCCGCGCGATGACTCGTGCTTGTACACGCGGATCGGCGTGCCGTCGATGAGGAATCTGCCAAGCAATAATCCAACACGCAATGCCAACGTTCTGAGCTTCGGTGCTCTCGCCGACGATGAACACGACGATGTTCGGCAATCGGCAATGCATGACGCTTCTTACTTACATGATGTGCTTGGGTGTCCATTCGACGGAGTAAGTGTGGAAGTCCTTGGTGGGGTCGAACCAGAGCCGGAACTGCTGCTCGCGGTTACCGACGCTGTCCACGAAGATGTTTGTGTGCAGCGTGTATGGCTCGCCGGTGACGTTGCCCAGGAACTCCATGTCCACCTCGTCATGGTACCCCGGCCGCACGTCATCCGTCGTCAGCTGCAACGATGGCCAAGCAATGCATGCGCACGCGTCGCACGCAACATGTCAACAGATCGAAATGGTAGCTGTCGTCTGCAGAAATGGTGACTGCCGCGCCCGCGCGGTGACCGCGTCCGGAAAACGGATCAGAGATGAGACGCGGCGGTGGCCGGGCTGTCCGGGGAACTCACGTAGACCGTGGTGACGGTGCCGGCTGAGTTGTTGGCGACGAGCTTGACGTCGATGTCGTAGCGGGCGTAGAGGTAGGTGCCCTTGGAGCGGAACCCGGAGCCGTGGGTCTTCTCGAGGCACAGGGCGAGCGTGTTGCCGTCATCGTAGAAGAAGCTGTGGTCCGGGCCCCACATGAATTCGATGTCGTCCTTCAGCAATGCCACGGCCGCCGGAGCCGCCGTTGTCATTAGAAGCATCGCCGCAGCCACCAGCGCCATGCGGGCATGAGAACAGGAAGACGGCAAAAATGCCGCCATGACTTCCTAGCTAATTGACTCTGCAATCCATCCAAGGCCAACGAACCAATAGATCTGGGAATCCGTATTTATAAGAATAGGGCATGTTCTTGGGAATGTTTGAGAGGCTGACTTGTGTGTTAGCTGGCTTACCTGAGGTTAGCTTCATGGAAGACCTGCCTCCATGCTGTTCCGACGTAAACGCGGCTTAATCGGCTTAGGTACACATGCACTCTGTTTCGTGTGTCCAGGAATAGAAATGTGCACATTACATGTGTTGGTGAGATTCACGTGCAGCTAAACTTTCGCAATTGTGACCCGGAAATTCATCTGCCTATCCACCAGTAAACAGATAAAAATAAGCCCAAATATCTCTTTAATTTTTGAAGATCAAATGAGTACACGCTCTACCAACCGGGCCTGGCTAGTTTGCACTCTCACTAGTAAGCCACCCGATGCCGTCCCTGACAGTGTGTCGAAGCCCCGCGGGATCTCGAGACACTCATTCTGCAGCTGCTTCCACTACCCAAAAATAAAGATTTTAGCAGACAAGCTTCTCGATTAATCAGGCAGGCATAAAGTGCCAATCTCCGTGAAAACACACACACTACCGTCTCTATAAATAGATTTATAGAGACAGAAATTCGTCTCTGAAATTTAAAAGAATTTCGATCTCTTAAGGGACCCACCTCTATTAATTTAGAAAAGCCCATCTGGTCCACATCGGATCCCTACGATATATAATCGCCACCAACAGTCGGCACTACTACAGAATCAGTTTTCGAAAAGACAGTCAAAGTCCATTTCTGCAGACATAGCTTGTTCACCTCCGAGCAGGTGTCCTGTTAATCAAAATTTGTTGATCTATGCCTGCCTCTAGAAATGAATCACAGTAAGGGGGCCCGCTGGTGAGCCTACCAACATAGCCGCCGCTGCCGCATCCCGCACCACCGCCATCCTCACCAGATCTCGACTCGCCACCATCCTCGTCGGATCCATACCCACCGCCGCCAGAGGAGGGCCGCATCTTCGCGGAGGTTCTACGACCTCGCGAGCCACCACTGGACTCAGCGCAGGCGCGCCCGAAGGAGAGTCGTGCCCTCACGGAGGGGCCACGCTGAGGAGCCCCGCGTCTATTCGGAGAGAGAGAGAGAGAGAGAGAGAGAGAGAGAGAGAGAGAGAGAGAGAGAGAGAGAGAGAGAGAGAGAGAGGTAATTGTGTGCCTGCCGAGGGAGGGAGAGTGGCTCCTGCTTTTATATGCTAGTGTTTCAAAGTGGGCCAGTTTGGGCTTGTGAGCTTGGCACAATTAGCAAAGGCGGGCCTCTTCACAGGTGCACTTTTGAAAATGCCCCCCATTCTCAGAGGCGGGCCTCTTAAGAGATCCGCCTCTATTAATCAATTTAGGAGGCGGATATTTTTTCAAAGTGTCTCTAAAATGAATAAACCGCCTCTGGAGTTCAGAGTCCATTATTTCAGGAGACATCATAAAGTTTTGCCTTCCTTTGTAAATAAAATTGTGACTCTCCTAAAATATTTTTAGTAATAGTGCAGCCCATTCATTTCTCTCCCCAACAGCCACACACATGCCATACCTCTCTCTGTAGGTCTCGACCCTCGGGCTCCTCCATCGCCGTCTCCGATGGCGGCGCTCGCGTGTGGCCTGCCACCACCGTCAGCGACGTTCGCATGGGGCTCACAACCTCTATCGCTGGCATTTGCATGGGGCCCACCACCCTTGTTTGGCACAGCGCTCGTGAGCTCGACGCGAGGATCTAGGCTGGGCATGGGAAGCGGTAGTGTGGTCACGCCGAAGAGGGTGTGGGGAGGCGGCCATGTCGGGGAGGAGGTGACCAACATGCGGGGAGGCAGCAAGGCCTTTGGTGTGGGGAGATAGTGGCTGGGGCTAGTAAGCATCAAGAACGAGAACGGGAACAGGCAAGATCGCGGCCAACTACCGAGATGAACCCGTTTCCTCTCTTAGTCAACCTCACCCCTCTCTCCTCCCTCTCTCTCTCTCTCTCTCTCTCTCTCTCTCTCAATCAATCAACCCCACCCTCTCTCTCTAGCAGATCTTCATGTTGGAGAATCTAGGACGGCGGATCCAGTGAGTGCGGCGTAGGCAGGTCCTAGGAGGCGGATCTAGCCAGGTGAGGAGGGGCTCAAGGCCGGTGGCACGGGCCGGCAAAGGCGTAGATCCGGCGAGCAGTAACCGTGTGTCAATAGGCTAAACACAAGGTTTGGACCCTGTCGAGTGATGCCTAGCCATCTTGGAGACTTCACCTTCAAGAGTAACAATTGCTTCACAAATTTTGCAGTGAAGCTCTAAAGTGCTTAATAGTGGGATTGATATCTTGTGCTCAGAATCACCAAATCTATCAAACTAACTTAATAGAATTCTCACAAATCACACAAGCTTCACAAAACAATGGTTGGGGAGCTAGACTAGCCTTTGTCTCAAGTTAGAACATGGGAAACACTAGCAACATCCAAAGAAGGGGTAATATGGTATTTAGACCCAATCCCGTAAAACTAGTAGTTACCCTTTGAGTCAATCAGAAAGGACCCTATACTTTTCATGGACTAGCTGTTAAAACCTCACAAACTTACTCTAAACCAAAGACTGCTATAAAACACTAAGAACCAACCAGAGGATCTTTTCTCGAGCATCTATTAGAGCATCTAGTAAAACCAAACTCGTTGGCCTTCCTAGTGCTACCACAATCAAGATTATTCTACAAGGTTTAGGTATCTTTCAACATGTCATTAAGGCTTTCTTTGATAGTCGTGACTCGTCAATCACTTCATTGTTTCATCCCTCTTGATAGAGCTAACATGACCTTCAAAATAAAATCTATTTTTTTTAACACTTTAACTTGAATATATTGTTACTTGCCACATTTTCATTTTCTACTTTATGAGGGTTGCAGGAACTTTCTCTTCTTAAGCATATCCTCATTGAGCTAGTGACTTGGGACTCTTCAACATATATATCAAGAGACAACTTCATGCCCATAAGTCAATCAAGTCTTCATGACTCAATAGTGGTTCATTATTAGACCAATACTTGCTCTTCTTCAGGGCATGGGTCCTTCATAGCCACGCCCTTTGCTTTCCTTTCCCTATTGTGCAGTAATTTGTATCCAAGTAGTTTCCACCCTTTGACTATGTTAACCATCTTTAGTTAAACATAGCCTTGCATCACAATATTTCCACATTTAATTCCACTATGCATTGTTTTGAATTTTTCGTCGCAATTCTTGATGTGTTAGCAATCATGTTTTTTTTATTTTTATTCCATCATAAATCAATCATGAGACAAAGTCAAGCTATCCATATGATCGTCCTTCACTTGTAAAGCCCTTGACTACATATGTTCATATGTAGCAAGCATGATCAATGTCATTGGACAAACTTCCACTTATTTTTTACAAGCAAATTATCATTGAGACCATTCCATAGTCATTTCTTCGTTTCTTCATTCTTTCAAGGGACCGTTTCTTGTTTACATATCATTTGAGCCCACTAGTCCTTTATAATTCCCTCATTCCTCATCACATTATCTTCATTGACTAATCACCTACTCATACACAAACACATTAAAAGTAGGAAATGACAAAGAGACAAATAATCTCATAAGTGTAACAAGTCTATAATCAAAATTGTATAACGACAAATTGAACTGATCAACAACGGAGACCAAGCGTGGAAAACACCATGGCATACATATATATTATTTAAAGCAAGGCTTAGTCAATTCCAAGAAAAAAGCCATTTTAGTTGCCTTAAGTCAAGCTTCTCTAACTTTCACCAAGTTTCTAGAAAATTCATTAACATCTGTAATATCAAATTTGTTTCAATAATAGGTCCACCGTGAAATATATATTGCATGTTTATTTGGTATTTTAGATGTTAATATATTTTTATAATATTCAACTAGTGTTAGAGAAGTATGATTGGAACAACAAAATACTATATAATAGATCAAAGGGCTGATGATTAGAAATTAGACCACAAAATCGGTTGATAGGCAAGTCAAAACTCTCATAAACAGAATAGGCGTGGACAAAGAGATGGTGGGCTTTCCAGTAAAAAAGAACATGTCTGCTAACTTTTGGGAAAAGGACGTTGTATCTTAAAATGGCGAGTAAAAAAGCTAAAATGTTAATTGTATAATTGATGACCCAATGAATAAAAAAATTATGGATGGTGGACTAAAACAATTCTAAGATCTAAGAACAGTTTAATAGGAGTAATTTACAAACACCAACACACTGTGAAGCTAGGCCTTGGTACATTCCACGGGGAGCCCCTTGTCCTTGAACCGCTTCTGATCCGTGCAGTAGTCGTAGACCATGTTCTCCTCCTGCACCTTATGCAGTGCCGCCGCATCCAGCCGCTGGTCGAAACCACGTGGATTGTGCAGGCTCGTCACCGCACCATGCGACGCCGGGCGAGGGAACGCACGGCGTCACGCGGAAGTTGCGGTAGTAGGCGTAGAAGGGCGCCTGCGTCCAGTCCACTCGTCGGCGTTCCACAGGCTCCCCTGCAGACGCATGCGCTGCCACGTCGGGAACGGCACGCCGCGCGCCCGATCGTTCTTGTAGACGCGGATTGGCGTGCCATTGACGAGAAATCTGCAAGCAGTTTATATATGCAGTGCCAACAGTTTGAGCTGTATTGGTGATGGAGACTGGAGAGGATAGAGCGCTACTCAAGACGTCGATGTTGTTGTTTACTTACATGATGTATTTGGGGTTCCATTCGATGGAGTAGGTGTGGAAGTCTTCAGCGGGGTCGAACCAGAGGTGGAACTGCTGCTCGCGGCTGCCGACACCGTTGACATAGACGTTGGTGTGCAGCGTGTACGGATCGCCGGTGGTATTGCATTGCCCAGGAACTCCATGTCCACCTCGTCGTGGTACTCCCACGGCACGTCATCGGGCGTCAGCTGCAATGCCATTCCGTTCACCCGTGACGAAACATATTTATTTACACAAGGGAGACCAAGAGAGAAACATACGTCTGGGATCGAACAACAACATGAATGGTGACCGCGGTCACCGCGCCGGGATGACAGAGACATGCCGTGGCAGTGGACTTACATAGAATGTGGCGACAGTGCCAGCAGAGTCGTTGGCCACGAGCTTGATGTCCATGTCGAAGCGGGCATAGAGGTAGGCATCCTTGGAGCTGAATCCCGAGCCGCTGGTGTGGTCGAGGCCGTGCGCGAGCGTGTCGGTGTCACCATCCATGTAGAAGAAGGTGTCCTGGCCCCACGAGATTTCGAAGTCATCGTACAGCAGTGCCACTACTGCTGTACTATATGCCATTGCCAATGCATTGAACGCCAACACAACCATGCGATGCTTACAAGAAGACGATGACAGTGCCATGGCTACCTTGCTAGCTAATTGACTCTGCAACAAGTATCCTGTTTCTGCTGGTTGTGTTGTTGCTGTTGTGATGGATCGATCTGAGTTACGTATATATAATGAACACATTGATCGAGATGGTGATGCATCACATGGTTGAAGTGAAGCTGGCAGGGGGCACGTTACTTGGAATGTTTGAGAATTGAGAGGCATGTGGCATGTTAGGATCCAAATGGAATGTCAGGCTGGCTAGCTCAGGTTCGTTTCATGGAAACTTAGCTTGCTCAATCCATCCCCCATGTCCTCCCAGTTGACCTCTCTAACGATCATCGTGATGCTCCAATGTAAACGCGTCTTAATCAGCATATAAGGAATGATTATGTGTGTTGGTGACCTGCACGTGGAGCAAATGACTGGGAATACACCCAAAAACACCTGCGCTCAGCTGTGTCCTTTGTATTATAATATTGCTGCAGAGTCGTTCCCTCCACCTCCCCTGGATAGACTTCGTGGTTGATGCGAGCTCATCTATTCTTGTGGCCTGCACTTGTAAACTGAACTCACTTGCTCTCACACGGCAATACTATATTGTTATGTGTGGGACTGCTTCGTTCCATGTTTTTCAGTCAAATAGGTGTAGCTTCACAAACTCTGATCTAGGAAAAAAGATGCAATCGTGACAGCACCAAAAGAGGTGCTCCAGAAATTTCAGCTTTTTGTGGAGCTGCTCTATGGTGAAGTTTGTGGAACAGAGTTTGTAGAAAAGTCTCAGACAGGCGCATAAATACTACTACCAAACTGTTGGGAATCAAAGGACCCGATAGGGTAGAGGAGAGCGCAGTGCAGCCCTCTCCTTGTGCGCCAAAGGCTTTGCTACGTGGCAATGGCCTTAGGGAAGAAGGGGCACAACTACCGAGGCTCTTTTTTTAGGGGACAACTACCGAGGCTCACAATCACCATGGTGTTGTCTAGGGTTTCGAACCAAGTAGTCACTCTTTCCTTCATTGGGGGTCGAGCCTTCCTTTTTATAGGGTACTGTTACATAATTCTAGTGTACACAATTGCCCTTAGGCTAGCTAAGGCATATTCCAAGATATTCCTACCCTAGAGTATTCCCTTTTCGGTCCTTTGTGTCTTTTCCAACTTGAACCACCTCTCTTGATGGGCCTTAGTCGAGTCGGGGCCCTCAACTCAGCAGGCGTCCGTGCCATGCCCACCTTACTCTCGCCACCTAAGCAGCCGCCGGGACCTCGGCGTTACGTCTCTTTCAATCGCCTTCGCCTGCCTCTTGATCGAAGCACACCCCCCCGTGCGTGGGCTTCCCGAGCAAGCCTTTGCTTCTCCACTCTTGATGCTCAGTTGTCCTTTGCTTCACCACCCACAGAGGCTCCCAGCCTTTGGCTGACTCTTCACCACCCACAGATCTGACGGCTGACGCCTCAGCAATTGCACGATTCAAGCTAGTTAGTCCCTTGCTCCGGTCTTCAGTTCCTCATCGCATCAATCAGAGTGTTTCTCGTGTTTTAGCCCCTCTTCCCGCCCTCTGCCTTCCACTTTTTCAATTCTAACATCTCCAGGCTTGTAGTGTGTGCCTGCAGTTTCTAAGGCATCGTCCCTTTCTTTGCTGTGTATAGCTAGTACCCTATCACAACTAAAGGCGCCGGCCATGGGCTCAATGTTGTTTTGTTATCAACCAAATGCCTTGACAAGCTTGCTGGACTGCTGGAGGAGGAGCTTATGAATTATGATGATGCTATCTGTGCATAAAGAGATCAGGAAGCTCCATGACTATCTCAAGTACTTTGATTCCATTCGTGAGGACACCGATGCTCGGGCAATGGAACACAGAGAGACAGGGATATGGTGGAGTGACGTGAAAGATGTCATGTATGTTGTTGATGGCATCGTAGATCTTTTAAGGGCTCACTCGCAGAAGCAACACTGTTGTGATTTACTCATGCTCTCTAGGTTCGCACCTTCAGTTCGACCACATGATCACCAGAAGAATCAAGGGTGCAAACAAAAAGGCTTGTAGAAATCCAAAAGAACAGAGATATGTTCCTTTCTCCAGGTCCGGGGATGTATCCCATTCCTCATCAGGCCCCTCAAATAAGCGGGGTCGTTGATAGGCATGTGGCTGCTTCGGTGATGAGCTTGATGTTGTTGGCGCAGAAATCAAGGAAGCTACTGATACTATGGTCGAGATGATTGTGGGTTATGGCCATGAGAGCAGGATATCAGTTTACGGGATCCTTGGGATGGGAGGAATTGGCGAGACAACTTTAGCTCAGAAGATATACAATGAGCTCAGGATAAGGGAGAGATTTCATCAGGTACTCATCTGGTTGTCCACTTCACAGAGCATTGCCGAGAATGATTTACTCAAGGAGGCCATCGAGAAGGCAGGAGGGTAGTGCAGCAATCAGCACAAGAGCAAGGATCAACTCGTGCAAATTCTGCTACATTCCATCAGTGGGAAGAGTGTCTTTCTTGTGCTGGATAACGTTACCAGCCCTGATGTGTGGATCGATCTTCTCCGCTCTCTGATGGAGAGGTGTTTGGATGCTCATGTACTTGTTACCAGTTACCACAAGGAGCCTTGATGTGTTGTCACGGATGAATGCGGTGCATGTCAAGGAAATGCACAGGCTAAAGGATCCTGATGGCCTGGAGTTGCTAATGAAGAGATCTTTCCGAACCAGAGATGAAGCAAATGTATTCAGTGACATTGGCGCAAAAATTGTCAAGAAATGCGATGGCCTTCCTCTTGCCATCAAGGTCGTTGGAGGCGTCCTATCGTCTAGGTCGAGCAAGGAAGAATGGGAGAGAATACTGGAGAGAAGATGGTCTATTGATGGGCTTCCAGAAGAACTAGAAGGTGCTTTGTACTTAAGCTACAGTGACTTACCCCCACAACTCAAACAGTGCTTCCTCTGGTGTGCTTTGTTGCCTCAGAATTTCAATATTCACCGAGATGTCACGTACTGGTGGATTGCTGAAGGTTTGGTGAAGGAAGAGTGCACTGGACCGATACATAACATCCCCGAAGATTACTACCATGAGTTGATCAAGAGGAATCTGCTACAGGCAAGGCCAGAGTATGTCGACAAGGGAGTATCAACAATGCATGACCTGTTAACGCAACTTGGCCAATTTCTGACAAGGAATGAAGCCGTCTTCATGAACGAGAAGCGTGATCGTTGCCCTTCTAGTATTCGCCGATTAGGTGTCGGGAGCGCTGTTGACGAAATACCTTCTATAGAAGAGAAGAAGCGCCTACGGTGCCTCATTGTCTTGCATCACGACACATGCAGATCGGTGAAGAGGGACATCTTCAGAAAGCTGGTGCATCTTCGCATCTCAGTTCTACGAGGAGCAGGCCTCGAGAGAACACCTGCATCGGTGGATTACTTGGCGCTACTGAGGCTGCTGGATCTCAGCTACGAGATCAAGGAGCTTCCAGGGTCCATCAGAAACCTTACCAGCCTTGGTTGCCTTTCAGTGTTTGGTTGCACAAAGTTGGCAGCTTTGCCGCCGAGTCTGATGAGGCTGACCACAATAAGCTTCCTCCAGATAGGAAACACAGGACTGGCGCAGGTTCCGAAAGGTATTGAGAATTTCAGGCAGATGGATAACCTTAGATCAGTTTTCCAAAACGGTACTGATGGTTTCAGATTAGATGAACTGAGGGCACTCTCCATGATACGACGCCTCTGGGTTATCCGGCTGGAGATAGCCACACCACCAACTGAGCCCGTACTGTGCAATAAGGGTTACCTGAAAGACAATGCATGACCTGCGCTGCACCATGGGCAAGGAAGCCAATTGTCGAACTCACTACCTGGACAGCGAGGTCAAGAGGATTGAGGAGATCTACGAGAGTCTTTGCCCACCGCCAAGCCTAAGCTACATCTTTATTGATGGGTTCCCCGGTCGCATGTTTCCAGCTTGGCTATCTTCAGAACCGCAGAATAAACTGCCAAACCTGGCTCATATGCACTTCTATGACTGCATATCCTGCCCGAAGCTTCCCCCAGCAGGCCAGCTACCATTTCTGCAGGTTCTTCACGTCAAAGGAGCAGACGCAGTGGGAGCATCGGTGCTGAGCTCCTTGGAAACGACATCCTATCTGGAACACTTACCACTGCATTTCCAAAGCTCGAGCTGCTTGAGATCCTCGACATGTACAACTGGCAGAATTGGTCACTAAGCATGGATACCTTGTTCGACAACACACAACAGCAATCCCTTATGCCGTGCCTTACACGCCTGCGGCTGATAAATTGCCCGAAGTTGAGAGCTCTCCCTGATCATCTTCACAGAATTGTTAATCTACAAAGGATCCAAATAGAAGGAGCTGACAGCCTGCAGGAGATCATCGATCATCCCGGGTTGTGTGGCTCAAGGTTAGGAACAACAAGTCCTTGAGGAAGATATCCAACCTTCCTAAGCTGCGCCTCTTGCTTGCGCAAGATTGCAAAGAATTGCAGCAGGCAGAGAACCTTAGCTCGCTCAAGGCCTTGTACGTTGTCGATTGCCCTATGGAGCAGATACTCTGGAAGTGTTTCCCCACAGAACAACAAAGCACGATTGTCCATGTTGTCACCATTGGGGCCCACGATCAGGATATTTATCCTCTTGAATCAGTATTTCATTATTTCATTAATTTATAGTGAGCACAAGATCTCTTAGAGGCCATTTGGATCCTTTCATTTGGAGTAATTTAAATCTACTTAATAAATTAGACTATTTATCTTGGAATTTGACATTCCACCACTTTCCAAAGTTCACATATAAGCCTATCTTAAATTCATAGGGTGGGAGATAAAAATTGATTATATAGATCATCATTCGCCAAAATATCTGTGATACTTATAAACTACGCTTCAAGGGTAAGTTCTTACTTCCTACGGTAGAAATGCACATATACTAGCAATAATATACAAATATAATCCATCTGAAACCATATTCTTTTTGATGATCTCACTCTGGGTGGTTTCTAGAAAACTTAGGGTGGAGCCAAATCTATTACCCTTGACTCTAGGTGGAGCCAGCTATAGGTTCGGAGCTGCAAAAGAGGTGCAAACTCCACCTCCATTTCTCTAGAATCTTTTGGAAGTATGTCTCCATGGAGTTTTGGAGTTACCCCATTTGGCTGGAAAATTGAATTTGATTCCTAGAACCAATGAGCCATGCCAAAGATCTATATTAGGTTAAAATATATGTCAAAATTATGATTATTAAAATAAATTTAATTCCATGGATCTACCCCTGAGAGAGAAATGTCATCTATTCTTGTGATGTATTTCCTTTTTTTCCATTCTTGAACTTCTTGAAAACACTATTTTGTTCAAATTTTCAGGAAACCCATCATCTTGAATCAGTATATTTCATTAATCAAATACTCTTTGTAAATGTACATAGTCTCTATAGAGACATATTACGTATTCTCTTCCATGTCTGTTTTTTAGTTTGGGTTATGCCATGTACGTCTGTTTCTATATAAATAATTCATTAGGAATGCCGTCTTTACATCCATCTGGCCAGTAATTTCTAAATCATATCTGCACGGGCAGAATCCATTATGATTATTAAAGTTCGTGTTTGTATGACAACTAATCAAAAGTACTCTCATTGTAATCTTTTCTATTTCTTCATTTGCGTAAAGCAATATTGCTATAAATACTCTATGATATCTATCTACATTTGTGAGTGAAATTTGAATTCTTTTAATGTTTTTACCATCCGTAACCATTGTTTTTTTTGCTCCATTAGGCACCTACATAAGTTCCACATGCATTTAGTTGGAAACCATAAATTCATTATGATGGCTCTTCCAAAGCTTTCTTGTCATTCGTGATTCTAGATTTCACACTTTAAATCAATAATGTTATTAGTGAGATACATCACCCTCTGCATGTTAAATTGAAATTCTTTGCTTGTGGTATTTTTTCTGAAGTCCTTTATCGTATTTTTAAAAAGATAATAAGACCTTCTAGTTACAGGCTGCACTCTACACTTTTTTATGATAATATAAATGGTCTTCATTGTCACGAGTAATTGATTCTATGGATGGCTAGAGAGATAACAATTGCCTTATTTACATTATTCAAAAAAATACTAAGCAAACATGTGTTGAACAAAGTCATACACATCAACACATAGGGGGTGTCCAACTTGTTGCTCATGTGGTGGGGCGGGTGGTCGCAGCGACAGGTGATGGTCTTCAAGTCTGCAGGTGTTCTACATGCTGTTTACATACCATACTTCATCGTCTCTTACCCATCTTTCTAAGATATGTGTGTCTTTAAATATTTATTTTGGGTTTCGTGGATGGATAAATTGGGGTGGCTGATTTTTGAGTATGGGTATTCGGGGATGGATAAACATCTTTGGGTACTGACTACACTATTTTTCCCAACGGCATCATTAAAAAAAGTTGAATTTTGTATTTTATATAATATCGGAGGACCAAATAACGGAATAAGCATACAATGGTCATATTCATCTTAATTAATTCTTTATGAACAAATTAATGAGTAGTAGTCATCGCTATTCTTAATTGATAAGGGCAATTCCAACCAACCCCTCAAAATATGGCACTCCCACAAATAAGGAATCATCTTATTCCAGCCCTCATTTCTCTACTCTTAATGAACAGTATCTTTCTTCATTGATCTTTATATTTTCTCTCACCTATATTATATACATAACTTGTAACTACCAAGTAATTTTATATCTAAACCGTAAAGTTAGTATTATTGGAATGGATAATTTACTTATTGACAATTGTGTCATGGTAAAATATTGGAGGAATTATTTTTTCAATTACTTTTAGAACTCAAATAGGTTTTTTATTTGTCGATACTTTTAGAACACACTTGGATATTTTCTTATCTCTTCCAACGACTATAAATCAAATGGTAGCATTTTTCTCCGATGTTATAAATCAATATAGGATAGCTCTTCCAACCAAGCTACCCAATTTTCTCTCGCTATGTGGGATACAAAACATATGAATCATCACAAAACTTCGCCCGCCATCTTTGGATTTTTAGCATAATTACTATATCAAAACTTCTCTAAAAATTTTGGATACATCTATTAGTATGATTTAGTACATACCTATTAAAAACAAGACTTATACTTTATTTTCAATTAAATCTTTAAGATTCCAATTTAATAGCAAAATTAATAAACTAATAAAAAATTTCGGAGTTTTCGGCTTGACTCAAGCCTTTTTATTGACATATAATTGAAATTGCAGCCCGTTGGCATGAAATTTTGAAGTGATATCATTGAATTAAATCATACAAGGTGCTTTTGCATCAATTCTACATATATTTTTCCGTAAATATAGAATTAATGCCATTCCTTTCTCGAAATTAACTTGAAATCCATATAACTTGTCTCTTCAAAATTAAATTCTCCCGACTAGATTCATCTTTTAATTGGAAGATTGATGATGATCATTTGAGGAAACATGTTAATAAAATACATTCTATTAGCACACATTTCTTGGTCAATATCAAGCTTTCCAAAATTCACCATGGGGTGGTTCTAAATTTAGACGTGAGATTTAACCTCAAACTTAAATTCATTATAATGACTATTTCCATGTAAAAATCCAACCCTTCGGGCCACAGTTTCTTCCAAGCGCAGGTTTGCTAATAGCCTGTTAATTTTTGTGTACCTTCTTTATCCACATTCCTATGTCCATGTTTACTTAGTTTGGATTTGTCCCTTAGGTTTAGGATGTCTCGTACGCTATACCTTCGCATAGTGCAAGCTGTAGAGCAACATGATAATTATTTTGACAAGAAAAGAGATAGAGTTAGACGTCTCGGGTTATCATTTTTGTAAAAGATTATTGTAGCTTTTTTATGCTTAGTTATGGAGTACCAGCTGATTTCATGGATCAATACATTCGTATTGGTGAAAGTACTATCATAGAAAGCCTTAGAAGATTTGTCACAGCAGTTGTTGACGTGTTTGGAGAGGAGTGCCTAAGATCCCCTAATGAGAATGACACAAGTAGATTACTTGCAATCGGACAGCGGAGGGGCTTTCCTAGAATGCTTGGGAGTTTGGATTGAATGCATTGGAGGTGAAAGAATTGTCCTAACCCATGGCGTGGGCAATATATTGGGCATGAGCACGAGTCTACAATAATACTCAAAGCTATTGCATCACATGATCTTTGGATTTGGCATGCTTTTTTTGTTTACCAGGGTCATATAATGATATCAATGTTCTTCATTGTTCCCATCTATTTGCAAGGCTAGCTCAAGGAGATACCCTAGAAGTTAATTTTATCGTTAACGGTAATAATTATACAATGGAGTACTACCTTGTAGATGGCATCTATCCTCAATGGGCGACATTTGTGAAGACCATAACAAATCCCCAAGGGAACAAGAAGAAATATTTTGCCAAGGCACGAGAAGCGGTTAGAAAGGATGTGGAAAGGGCTTTTGGGGTTCTTCAAGCTCAATTTGCCTCAATGTGGGATGCGACACTTAGATTAATGATGACTTGTGTCATCATGCACAATATGATCGTCAAGACGAAAGCGAAGTGAAGATGGGAAGATGTCCACTATGAGGGTGTCGGCCACTTTAGAGAAATAATGACAAGTTGTGTCATCAGTTCCGTGCACAAGCTCATGATCGCAAATCCACACCCAACTTTAGAAGATCTTATCGAGCACCTTTGGCAAACATCAAGACATGAAGATGAAGTCATATCCATGTAGTCTTGTACCATCTATTTTTCAATCATGTACGAGGTACCCTTCAATCATGTATCAATCATGTACCCTTCAAATGTATGGTCATGTACCATCTATTTTACGATGATTTAAACATCATGGATAACAAACATACTGGTACATGATTTAAATAAACATAGTCCATAGTGTACACACAAAAGGCAAATAAACACGATGCTTCTAGTTGCCACCACAACACCGAGCAATGATCTCATTCTGCAATGTCTTATAAAATATCTTTTGTCGCTCACTCATACCATTAAGGTCGATGTTTATAACTTTCTCATCATCTTCTCTCTATTTCAACTCTATTTCTCATTGCATTAAATCCAGCTTCCTATTCGCTACTTGTTGCTTGATTTGAAGCCTTCTAGTCTCTACTGCAAGCCTCTCATCATTACGCTCTTTCTTAATCTCACTCATCTCTTCGGCCTTTTCTCTCTTTGCCCACAATATTTCCATTGCCTCCATGTAAAGGCCTTCTTCTTGAGAGTTAGGATTTTTACCTCTGCGTGCTTTCTCCTTCTTACCATCTGGCCTTCCTTTCCTTAGTGATGTATGACTTGGTCCGTCATCTTCATCAGCATACTTACTTTCATGAGTTCCAGGTGTATATGACCTGGACTTGTGGTTGAGGAAGTCTTGTGTTTTTTCTAAA